TCAATTTGACTGCTCATATGTGAGTTATCAACTTTTATGATATTTAATGGTCTAAACATCTGTATGGAATTTAAACTATCTTGTAGCACAATAGACCCGACAGTCGCAATGCCACATCCCCTAACAATAATAATAATAATAAGCTATCTGAGGAGTTATGATATTTGACTACATATTTTTACAAAAAATAAACCTCTACTATACATCCTACATCTTGGTAAATACTGCAAAAGCTATCCTCCGATTTTTCCAAGCTTTTTTCTTGCTTAAATCAATGAATCACCTCCCACATTTATGTCATTTGGTTGAACAACACCCTGTATAAGTAACAATATCTTACCATATAAAATTCTTTATAATTAAAAATCAGTATCACTGTATTTCAGTATGAGAATGATACTAACGAGCTATATTTATAATGAAATTACAATTCTATAATATAATATAATATCGTATATGAACTTGTGCTTTATAAGTTTTGAGTTCACCATTTTTGAAAACTGATGCATTAATGTTTAATCAGAACAAATCATATATACAGATTACATATAAAAAACATATTAATCAAAAATATCTTAAAACTCTTATTGAAGTCTAACATAACTAACATAATCTTTTAATGTTATCAATACTTATTTATAATATTTACTTACTAATAACATGTAAATAATAAGATATCTACGTGTTCTATATAAGAGTCTGCGGTTATAGCAATAGCTCTCAATTGTTAGTCATATTTGTGAACTGTGGTTATATGCATTTATAATATTATATTAACTACTGTAATTGAATCATAAATACTCTATATCATTTGAATATTCAAAACTCTTCCCATATGAATATTGAGCAACTTTAAAGCGAATTAACAATGTTTTAAAATAATTACAGCTGAGTAATGTAAATGTTAACTAGAAATCGGAAAAACCCAATGAATTACTTAGGAAGCTATACAAATAAGAAGAAATAAAAAATGAGAGCCAATATACTAAACATAAGTTACTTGATTTACATTAAATGCAATACTGTTTGTGCTTATAAAATTTTCTAAAAAGATTTTTAAATTCAAGTAATTTATTATGACGTATTTCAGTTTTTGTTTTTATTTCATTCACCTTTAATTGGAAAAGCCCGACTATGTGAACCAGAGAAAATCTACACTAAAATGTTAAAAAGATCATTAGATTTATTGCGCAAATCAATTAATAAATTGATTGCTATTAGTTTGAGTAATATAAAATACTTAAAGTTTTTAGTATGTAATAGGAAATAGGGAATATATTTTTATTTTTAAAATTAGTAGAAAGACACGTTTAGAGTGTTATGTCTCTAGTATCTAATTAGCTTGATGTAAGTAAAATTTTTAAAATCAAAATAAATTATTACAGAAAAATTGTGCTAGTATATAAAATATTTCTAGTTATAAGCTACTACTAATGTAATTAAAGTAATATTAAAAAAAAATAAAAATTATTGATTTAATTATTTTAATTAAGAAACTTATACAAATCCAACACAGTTTTAATTGCAAAGGTTTATCGTATTAAGGTTTGAAATAAATAAATAAAATATAATGTATAAATATCAGTTTCATTAAACCCTAAAATCAATAAATGAAAAACCGGATATTCGCAATGTTTTGTACCGAAGATGAAAAAATATTTTCGCGGGGAAAAAATATTTAAAATATGTGAAAAAAATTTTGAACGGCAACCATATTGTCAAAATTATTTTTAAAATTTTTTTTCACTGTCCAACTCTTCCAAATTAAAAAAAATTTACAGTGGCTGATTTCAAACAAGATCGTAAAAGTTTAGTTGATAAAAAGTGTTCTGAGATTAACAAAAAAAAATCGCCACTGAAAATATCCGAAAAGTATATCAATCAAATAAAAATCAAATAGTTTGGAGAGACTGTGCTGACTGAGAGAGAAACGGAGAGAGGTGTGTTACTGGAATTCACTTTCAATATTAAAACAATGTACGGGGATTTAGACATGAGAAACTTTTTTAAATGTTAAAACTCGCGTGTAATCGAGCAGATTAAACATCACTTATAATTTTATGTCTTCAAGTTAATGACCTTTATATTATTACCTAAATGGGTGATAATGGGTCTAGCTGGCTATACAAAACCTTGTTTTTTTACATAAACTTTGAACCCTTGCAAACACTTTACAAAGCATTGACTGTATGCTACGCTGCATTCAACCTTCGATTTTCCAAAACTTTTTCCAAAATATTAGCCACAGTTATTTACTATCCTAACACTTCTTTTTAAAATATACATAATATGAGAAAAGTTTGTTCAATAAGCCATTATGCCTGTTGGAATCTGTGTTCATATATCGCATTAAATTTTTTTAAGACCCAAGTGTTTGAGGATATCAAAATAAATAATAATTCAATACGATAATTCAATTTAAGTTATATACTCGGTGAACACATAAAACGACCGTATAGGAATGCAAATGAAAAAAAGGTTCATAATAATTTTTAACTTATTCGATTAATATTCGATTAACTTATTTGAATAAGTTGATAACATTTCGCATTTTCAGTCTTTAAAATTTAAAAACTATATGTCCGCTCCCTCATCTAATTTTATATTCAAACTTCATGAAATCCTCATATGCATCCTCATCCGCAAAAGTAACATCCGCTACATCTGCTTTCGATGATATTTCATCTTACTATATTAAAAATTACTACAAATTAATTTGATTAAATAAATTTGTTTCTGCAACACTATCTAACACTAATATATACCTTGTGATCAAAAAAAAACTAATCGTACGATATGCGTTAAATTTTGTGATAGTGTTGCCAGCGTGAAAATGAAAAAAATTTACCAATTGGATAAGCGCGGGAATTCAAAAATAGGCCTCTCGTTCTTTTTTGATCAGAACGTATACCAAATGTATGAGAAACAGATATAAATCTTTCAAATACATGTATATATATATATTATATATATGTCTGAAATAACATACGTTTTATATAAAAATATTAATACATTTTTATAAAACGAAAATATAGACTGTGTTATTTAGTTTCATATTTAATATTATTTTTTTTTATATATTTATTTACCTTTTTCTGTACCTTTCTATATTTTACGATAAGGTATTTAAATTTTTTTATATTTAAATGTTTACATGCACTTTATTCTTGATAAAATATTTCAATATATAATGTAATGACATCATAGACCAAGCCTTTTTGTATGAATGACCGTTGAAAGTCATGTATTGCGTTTATTTTACAAATTTTAGGTATGTCTTAATGACGTTCGTGAACTTCAATAAAACATTTTACAAAATTTTTACTCATTATAAAAATTTGCAAATCATGTGTAAATATTATTTTTTTCTATATGCAAGTAAATAATTATTTAATAATGATACACCACATTTTGTAATTCAAAAATTTAAAATGTTTAAACAATTCTTAATATATCTAAAATTAATTATAAGTTTATAAATTGCTTTAATAGAACTGTTCCCGTTGTTTTTCTGTGTATTAAAATTTTAAAAATATGTATTAAAACACAGCTGTGTAGATAAAATAATATAACTCGATATTTTCTAACCTTGTTTGTAGCACACACAATGTAAATCCCTACATACCGTTGCTTAATAAATACATAAAAGTTCTGTTTTCAAACTATTTAAGTGATATTTAGATTAAAAGAAGATTCTCAATTGTATACATACTTATATAAGGCGACATTTTTAATTGAATAATTTTTTTCTGTTACTTTTTTTTTAATTAATCCCTTCACTTAGGCTTTTAACTTCTATTCTTGTTAACTATAATTAAATAGTTAGTTAATTAGTTAGTTAATGATCTTTATTAAAAATTTTATATAAAAAACGTTTTTATAATGTTAGCAGTGTTTTGTAAATGCGATTGTAATTACAAAGTCACTTTATAAAAGTTCTGAAAAATTCATATTTAGTATAATGTTTTTGAAAATAAACATATTGGTTTTAACATATATATTGTCGGTCAGAACATTGTTAGTGATAATGATTATTTCATGTTATATTATTATGTAGTTATTCATAACTATATTCAACTATTAATAAAATTTGGTAATTTACACTTATTCACAATAAAAGCATACCAGTTCCTCCTCCTTCACTATTAACCCTATATTTTCTGTAGGGTTGATATCTGAAATTTTTTATTTTATACTATAAATTACAAATAAGATCTTGATATCTCTTTTTGAAACTATAGGCTATACTGTTGAAATGATAATACAAGAAGTCTTCAGTATAAGATCTTGATAAGATCTTGAGATCTTGATATCTCTTTTTGAAACTATAGACTAAACTGCTGAAATGATAATACAGGAAGTCTTCAGTATATAAAAAAACTTTTTAAATATTTTTCAGAATCTTACCAACAAAATCAGTTGTAGATATATATTTTATTTTACTTCACTTCCTGTTATATACATTAATAATTACTCGTTACACGTACATATCAAACACGTGAATATCAATAATTATTTATTGGGAAATTCGAGAAATTTATTAAGAATATATACTACTTAACACGTATGAGTTTCGATATAAACAACCATACATAAGAATATATTTATATATATTTATGTGAAGAATATCTTTACTAAAGCCCCTACTAATTGGAAATCATTATTCTAAAAATTTTTTAACAATTTCAAATAATATAAAAATAGTACTTTTTTATAATAGCGCTATTATAGAAATAATTGGAATTTTTTAACAAATAAAAAAAACAAATTAATAGCAAATAAATTAAAAACAAATTTTATTTAAATTTCAGTATTTTTCCATCATAAAACATAAAATGATTGTGTGATTCATGGATCGATCACAGAAGAGAACTAAATAAAAAAAAGTTAAAAACTACAATGAAAAAAATGATTACATGATTTTAAAAAAATGCTCTAAACAAGCAAATTTTTAAAATACTAAAAAAAGTAATTAATTATCGATTTAAAAAAATAATTAATTGACTAAAAACAAAACAAAAATTACAAATTTGTATAAGAAAATGCATTTAAAAAATGATAATGAAATGAACTCGAATGGAAATCATTTATCAGCAGCAACGAGTTGTTCATCATCTACAGACTCTGGTGTAATTATTATTGATAACAAAACAACATTTAATAACAGCAACAGCAATAGCAACAATAACAACAATAGCAATGACAACGCTACAACAACATTGACAACAAGCAAAATTGCAAAAGATAATACAAATGAGGAAGCGAAAAAAAACATTGATAATGGGCTACACATTGAAAACGAAAAATCGAGCCCAAAATTATTAAAAAATAATCAAAATAAAAGTGATAAATTTAATGCAAATAAAAATAATAATTTAAGTATAGAAAATATAATAAACATAACAAATACGCCATCTAGCGACGATGTTGAGGCACAAAAGAATTGGCAGACTAGGAGTAGTAGCAGAAATTGCAGTAGACCCAACTCAAAACATTGCTCACCTGCAGTATCTATACGCAGTATGTCGATATCGATAGTTTCGATCGATGAGAATGCCATAGACTCAAGTATTGTGGACTCAGACTCAGAGTGTGAAGCAGACGCTGAAGGAGTACACAGTAATTATATAGTAAAAAAGCTAGGCCAACAAACAACATTAGCACCAGATAGTCCAGACTTGCCAAACATAAATAAAGGTCTAACAGTGATCAGCCAAAGAATAAATCCAAATGGAAATTTATCAGCTGGTGTTGGTCCATTGGCTGAAAATATACTTAATGGCAACCTACAACCACCAGGATTGGGTGCATTGACACCAGTTGCACCGCCACAAATCGGTAGCATTGCTTTGTCAAATTCCACAGATGTTACCTTTGGTGATAAACACTTTTACGAGGGTCCAGTAACGATACAACAGTTCCTTATTGATAATCGCGAAAAGTGGAAACCAACCGATGAGAATGGGCAAGACAATCCAGTATTCGTAAACGAAAACAATGCAAAGGAAAGAGACAACGGTAAGTGACTATGTATGTGTTATGACTTATGAATAAAACCAGAAACAAATGTGGGTGTGTAGTGTTATTATGGCTGTGTAAATGTGTAAATGTGTATTTGTTTATTTATTGTTAATCAGAACAGATCTATGCAATTGGTTTTGATTTTATATTTTTTTGTTTTGCGCATTTTGTTTCTTTTTTTTTTATTACAATAAATACATAAAGTGTTTTTGTTTGTGTTTTCTTTGTTTGTTTATTTATCGGGCGGTCATAAATACGAGGCCACCAAAAGGTGTTGAAATGTTGTAGTGCTTGCGAATGGGTTACTGCATATTCAAGTATAATTGCGCTGTATTATTTTTTTCCTGTTTACATACCTCTGAATGTTGAATGCAATATCCAAGAATTTCAAGCAATTTATTTGAATAAATAATTAAAACCATAAAAGTAAACACGTAAATAAGTGAAGACGAAGAAAGCCTTTACGAATACTCTAAGTTTATTTTTTTTAAAGAATTTTAAGGAATATTTTCGATTGTTATAAAACTTCAAATGTTTATAATTCAAAACAAATATAAAAGTTTAACAATAAAAAATTCTAGTCAATTTAATCAGTCATCATTTTATGTCATCTTATAAATTGTGAAAAAATTATTCAACGTTAATTATTTTTTGTTTTAATATCACTTATAAAATCACAACTCCGGAGAGATGTTTTCGACTTTAGTGTTATATACACATATTAGGCCTTTAAATTGCTACTGAACGGTAATCTTTTTAACCAAACTATTGTGACATCAATTTCGTTCTAGACTTTACATTAGTTACCAAAAAGATACGCATTAAAATTGTGCAACATAAGTTAGAACTCATAATGACAATATTCGGTTTTCCCTAGGTCAACTGCTGATTTCATATCACATTTCTATTTGAAAAGTTTGTAAAGTTGATTATAACTGACATAATAAAAGTTTATAAGTTTGTTATTATTAGATTATTTGTAACAGAAAGAAAAGATTTTTTTTATTCTCTCTAGCTATGCTAGCAAAATTGGTCTAAAACCTATGATATACAAATATCAATTCTCATCTAACTAACAACTTAAACTATAAAATTTGGTACTTCAGAATGAGACTTCAATCTCACGAAAAACATACTCTCCTTAACTTAAAACTCTATCAGTATTGGAACTAAACTCTTAGAATATATTAATACCCAAACCGTATTCTTTAACTCATAAACATTTTTACTAAATTACAACATATTCCAAATTCAAAATTATATTTTTATAACTTTTCCTAAACTACTTTAATTTTATCAAAAATGTTTTAATAACCGATGTACATATACAATTATCCTAAACATCTTTTATTATTAAATTAACCTAAAAACTGTTTTTATATAAAGAAATCTATAAAAAAAAAAGTAAATGATAATAAAAATCTGAACAATTAAATTGCTTCAGTACTACACTTATATGCAGTATAGCAGCACTTTTTTGGTGCTTGTTAGATATATGTATATATTACTAAACGGAAATGTAGAAAATTTGACTACATTTTAATATAATGATTTAATAAGATTAAAAATCCATTTGTAAAGTCAAATTGCACTCAAATTTTGAACAAGTATGAAGTTAAGTGTAATATAATAATGTGAGGAATGCTGTAATTTATTTTTTAATTTCGATGAAAGCATAATATATTAAATATTAAAAAAAACATATTTTAAAAGAAAATATTAATTAGAGAGGCAGAATTATTAGAATTTTCTGGTAGTTTTTTAATCGACAAATTTACTAAATTTTTGAAATTGATTGGTGTGAAGAATATATTATTTCTATATGTAATTAAGAATACATATTGAGAAAGGTAGAAACGAATTTACTATAAAGTTCTTCTTTTATATTAAGAAGAAGCACAAAGGATGCTTGTTAGATAATAAACTTAGTCACTAAATAAACGAATGTTCGCATATATCCTTTAATGTCGTAGAAATGTTGTGTAATTTTTTTTTTGTTGAATTACATCTCCTTTTTCTTATGTATTATATATAGCATTATAGGAAATGTATGATTATAAAGAATTGCTTAACTAACAATATAAAATTTTGTATGTATTGTTCTGAACAAATATATATATCTTTTGAGACGATATTTTTTGATTCATTAATCATTTTGAAAAGTTCATCTCAAAATTATAATACTAAAATCTCTTCTATCAAATACATTGAATTTTTTACTTTCAAAGTTATAATAATTATCATCGATACCTATTTCTCATTTGACATTGATAACAATCGTTCAACTTTTGTATAGAGATTCTTCTATATTATTTTTGATTCGCATAAGTAATTTCTTGAAAACATTTGTATTAAAGTTTTGAACTCAGCATCTATTTTCATAAAAAATGACAATTATTTTATGTATGTATGTATATTACACCATATCATCGGTTTCGATTATCCCACATCTCTTAAGAAAAACTCAAAATTTCGAAAACCAACTATTGACAGTTCTTACTATAATGTGTTATAGCTGATCTTTGTCTTTTCAAACAGATTTTGTTCTAATATTTTAACACGTAATAATATCTCACAACAATGACGTATTAAAGTCGTTAAAAAATGTAAATAAAATAATATACTGTGTATGAAATTATACCACTATTAATCCCAACACTACTTGGTTGCCACTACTATTTTAAGGTCCGTAAATATATCAGCATATAGTGTAATGGAAAAAGGGGCGCCCAGAAATTGTTGTTTTAAAGTCAATAGATGCCAAATATAATATTAAGTTAGGTCACTACTACTCTTATTACGGATGTTTGAGAGTCACACAAAATAAATAGATCATCAATACTTGGCAATAAACAATACATTACTTCAAATCATTAACCAAGAATAAATTAGTGTTTTTTTAAACATATTTTAGGCAGTCAATTATTATATTTAGATAGACTTGAATATTAGGTGTTCGTAACTATTGATGAACTATTGTATCCTAGACAGTAAATAAAGAAATATTAAAATATTTTAAAACTTTTAATTTATGTTTTACATAAAATAATCAAATAGGAATTGTTAAAGACGTTCATAAAATTTTTAGAAGTAAAATATAAATATTCTTAATATAGTCAAATTAAATTAAATTATGTTATTTGTTAAGAAGATTTAACAGTGTTTATACAATCACGCCTAGTACTTACTAATACTATCATCACTTTATTCCACTAGTTTTTTTTACAAGTATCTCTAAGTATTTGGCTCCAGCTTAAAATATTTTGACAATAACTCAATAAACCTCTTTATTTTGTAAGTGCCGATAAAGAACATTTCCTGAAATTATTCATGAACCCCCAATAAATTTCTTAATTGCATTAAAAAAGAACTGTTTATATGACAGGAAGTAGCTTGATTAAAGTGAATAGAGATTTTGATAACAAAAAGGCACATTTTTTGAATATGAAAATTTAAAAATCCATTATAACATGTTATATATTTTAGAGGTTTAAGTTTGTTTTACAAATATTTAAAAGTACTTAATAACGGCCATACATTTTAAAAGTATCTGACTGCATTATCTTTTAATAGTTTGCAATCATGTCGCAATGAAAAATATATACTATAAGTGCAATCTTATCTTTTAACTAAAGTACACTTACAAAAGGTTATTTTGTGAAATAAATACAATTTTTAAGAAGTTTTTAACTTTCAATTTTTATAAAATTTACTTCATACCAGACTTGTTTCTATGCACAAAAAAATTTTACTTAAATTTTTTAAATGTTTGATTTTTCATAGAATTACTACACTGAAAAGAAGATTATTACAAGTTTAAAAGCATATACATAATGAAATATATTGCATATATATTTATTTAATATAGTTATAACAAAATAAAACTTAAACTCTACATTAACTTAGACAAAGCAAGTATGAAATTAAATTAGCAACAAAAAATTTAACCACGCATAGACAATCAAAAGCTCCATATAAGAGGCAAAAGGTGTAAAGGCTATGCGTCGAACAACAATAACAATTATAACTTCCGAACTGTTAGTAACACTGCGTCCATAACCTAATGGTAGCTGATTTTATTGTTCATAAGCGTACAAAAGTATTTAGTCGTGATCAGAAGTGTTTGCATCAGAAAAGGATTCCAAAAGTTAAGATCCAAATTATATAAGACCTGTGCCACAGTGGCAAACAAATGCTCTCTTAGTGGAACTCATGGAAAACAACCATACAACGAAAACTCAAATCAAAACTCAAAGTAAAGTCATACAAGTTCAAAACAAGATCATTCACCAAATATCCACAAAAAAATAATCCAACAGTGTTAACAATTAATAATGTCAAAATTGAGTGGATGGAGAATATGAAATACTTGGTCCTGATTTTTAATAAAAATTTGATTTGAAAACACCATATCAAGACAAAAAAAGCAATTTGTATAAAAAATTTAAATTAAATTTAATCCCCATTCAAAAGCAAAAGATTAAACCGGAAAAAGGAAATGCTCATAAAATAGTCATTTCGGATGACTGTGTTGCCTTCAGTAAAGCAGGAAACTGCAAAAATCCTAAAATATCAATCTAAGGATGTCAACCATAGTTTTCTGGTTTGTCAAAAACTTTGATCTCTTAATTTCAAACACCACTAAGATTATAGGCTATCTAGTAGTAAAGTCTGGGTTATCCAGTAGTAAAGATGATCAGCACAACAATTCTTTCGCTCCACTTAGAAAAGCTTAAGGTGGAGATTTGGAATAAAAATAAAGTAGATTTCTAGATTGATAAGACTAAGTACACGACCAAATTTGTTTATCATATCCTGGGATAGAAAAAGTTCCCATTTAAACAATTTGTTAATAAATCTAACAGAGGATTTATAAGAATATATAGAAATTTTTAATACAAATTCGTTGTTGTTCTTATTTCTAAGGTGAATTTTATCTTTATTCTTGTTAATAAAGTTGGTTAAAGTAAAAATTGTTCTCTTCAAATATGAGGTTAATTAATTCTAAATGTCGTACCTAAAAGGATTTAATGTTGCGCCTATCTCTTGTTTAACCGAATAATGTATATATTTTTCATTAAATAATAAAGTGATATTATATAATGATTTAGTTTTAATTATATTGATTTCGATTCCGATTTTAGATCGATGTGACATCAGCTCCAGGTCACTCAACCTATAAAACCGAATAACCTGATAATTAATAGTTAAATCTATGAGAATTTCTGTGAAAATTCTTAAATAAATAAAATATGTGAAGTCAATAGGTATTAATATATCATTGGTAGCGACTGACGAGTACTCGTAAATATCTAAAGATAGCTAAAAAATTGCATGAGTAGATTAAAATACTTGATTGACTTTAAGATTTATTTAAAGCAAATTGAAAAACAAACGCATTATTTATCTGGTTAAACAAGAGCGGAACCTACTCAATATAGGTACTAATAGGTCACTTCGTATTAGGAAGACATACACTGAGATCTGGTCTTTCCTATAACGGTTCTGAAAATGAGATAAAAGCGACTTTTTACTTTATGTGTCTTCGAACAGTAAAATACTAAAAATCTTTAAGGGGCTAACTTACAAAGTTTATAAACTTAGTCTATTTTTATCTGAATGCTGACTAGTTTTGTCTTTATAACATAGATCCGTTCCTGCTGGTCTGGAATATGAATAACAAGTTACCTGTGATATCACAACGAGCAACTGTTTGTGCTTAAGTTGAATTTAGTATGTAAGTCAACCTAACTTAACATTATAAAAATCAGCAATAACATTAAAATATAATACATAGGCATATTTTTTTGAAATGCCAGGAGTCGGAGTATATAGCTCCAAAAGTCTCCAAAAAAAGTATATAGCTCCAAAAACAAGTCTGTTCCGCAAAAACTGTGTGATCGGTTTACAATAGTATCATATCAATCTTCTATTAAATCCATCCTTATTTTTTATTAAATCTGTTCACTTCTTTATTTTTCCTTCAAATTTAAAAACAAAATTGTAAATTTATATATATATATAAATATATATATATAAATAAATATTTGTAAATATATAAATATACAATGTACAATTATGTATGTATTATATAAATGCTTTCTATGTAATCAATTCAATGAATCTGTTACTCGATTGTTATAGAATTCATTGAATAACTTTCAAATATTAATTTATGTAGTAATTTTTTAAATATCGGGGACTTACTTTACTACTTACTTTATTGATATTTCATCTATTTTTTTTAAAAAAAACAAAAATATGTATCAAAAAATCTAAACAATTTATTAAAGTTTTTTTTTTTGAAAATACGCATTCCTTTCTTTAAGTTTACTAAAAAATCCCCGTTTTATATATTAAAACAGCTTCCAAAATTAAATACAAAAAAGTAGATAAAGTTGTTACCAAAATATTTAAAATCTACATTTCACATTTAATTAATAAAACAAAAAATATGTTGCGGTTAATAGCAATAAATTATCTTTGTAGAGTAAACTTCAACTATTGGATTTTGTAAACAAAAGTTAGCGTAAAAATAATAATAAAAAGAAAAAAATATGAAACATTATATAGCAATTACATATATATAATGATTTTATTAAAAAATTTTACTATATCGTATATACGAAACTGTTCTGTGTTAAAAACGCTTGCGTTTCGTTAAAGAAATAGCACAGCAAACTTCGTGATCACACCACATACTTTCGATATAGCGCGGGGGAATTTTTTCAATAATTAATTGTTATTTTATATTATGAATTCAATAAATTTGTTTTTTAGTCTCTTTTTCCTTAAAATTGACGCAACTTAAATAATTGCTTTTGAAATTTATGCTAATTTCAAAACACAAGGAAAGTAAAGCGCACTTACACCACCCGAGAAAAGTCGTTCGCCAGTCCCGTTTGTAGAATTTCGTAGTCTGATACTGACGCTTGTACTGCTCGGTACCAATATTGCTTATAGTCCAGCTAGGAAAATAATTTTTTTTTTTAAATATATAACTTTTTTATAAATATAATTTTAAAAAAATGTTTGATTGTAGTCTATGTAAAAAAAACATCGCAACAAAAACTGATTTAATTGAGTGCGATGGCATTTGTGGGAATAAATTTCATAAAATTTGCACCAAATTAAATGTGGATGAACTGCAAATTATAAAATCAACGAAAAATATCATTTGGAAGTGTGATGTTTGCTTACTACTGTGCAGTGAACCTTTTCGCAACGAAATTAACAAAATTATTGACAGCAAATTTGATAAATACTTTGAGTACAATGAGTGGCGCTTGAATAACTTGAGTCATAGAATAAATAGTGCAGAAATTAAATTAATTCAGGAAAGTAAGTTTTAAGTTTTTATGAATACAAAAATATAAAATTAAATCGAAATTAATGTATTTAAGTTATTATTTAAATAAAATTTCAGTGATCTAATTAAATGTATATATTCATAAAATGTTCTATTTGTTCAGCAATATCTATTTAGAGATTATATGGTGTATCCATGCGGAGTTGGTTAGAGGATATAAACGATATATAAGCTGATATAACTTATCCGACATAAACTTCAGGTGAAGTTAGATTTATTTGGCATCCTGGAAAACACACATAGCCATTTTCCTTCCCAGCGATACCAGATACCAGAGACAAAGTACTTATCTCTGCGACAATCATATTTGACAACAGCTTTTAGTAAATGCAGATATTTTGATAAACTCATTCTTCTACAGTAATTGACAATAAAACTTACTTCCCGACATATCAAAGTTAAGGTGTAATTGTGTTAATCTAGCTGGCTGCAAACCACATTAAGACCAAGCGATACCAGATAGAGGCAAAATACTAATTAGTAAAGTTGTAACTTTTTTCTGTACACCATATGCTGATCAAAACTATAGAAATATATTTATATTTATTATTTATTTATATTTATATTTCTATGTTTCTGATGCTGATATATGTTAGCTTACATTTCGATATATTGAAGTGTAAAGTTCTTCACTTTTTACATTGATTAAACAAGCAAACAGTATAAGTAAATCAAATTCCACTAGGATCTTGTCCAAAAATACGTTTTAAAAAATTTGTTTAAAAATTCTCTATTCCTATCTCAATACTATAGGACCTACAAGTACTCCTTAAATTCATAAAAAAGCCTACTACAAAATCGATATTAATATAGGTCTATTTGTGGTTTACATTCAACCAAACCCACCTAACGTAATCTAAAGTAGATTACAATATTAAACAATGAAATAGTTAAAGAATACAAGGTGCATTCCTAAGTAAATGGGACTTTTTAAAAATGGATATATAGATCATAAATTACCTGTCTATGTTTTTTGGCAATTATACAATAGATTATAGATAGATTTTTCACTGATTTGATGTGATATTGAATGAATAGAAATCGGGTTATTACGTTTAAAGTGACAAACCTTCAGAATATCGATAGCAACTCTTTGGACGGCTTATATACCCCATTATATTCATCAGAATTTTACATTTTTTTAAAAAGATAAAAGTCATATAGTGCTAAATCAGGTGAATAAATGAACAAAGGGAATGGTCGACAATGTAAGTCGCAGAAAAGCATAGATCGATAAGAAGAATATGAGTAGAATATCCAATTCCAGGAATTTTAAAAATGATTTGGGTTGCTCTTTGATACATGCAATGAAAGTTTTGTGAGTTTTTGCATTGATGAAGGAATTCAGTTGGCAAACATGTATCTTATCATCTTATCGCAGACAAAATAAATAATCATCATAAAACTATACCTTCTTTGTTCTATGTTAATTTTTGCACCAATAATATAAATATACTTTCAATTCAGACGTTAAGCATGTAGGGTGCTATTCATCCAAATGTCCAAATCTAATAAAATTTTGACAAAACATCAGGGAAGGACTATTTTACCGCCATTTAGAATTTCCAGTCGAATGTTTTATTGCAAACACCAATTTTGTAATAAATTCTGTTAACTTTGAACTGAGCTATATAAATCCTTTTTGATATGCTTTAAAAACAACATGATTAGAATGTATTATGTATTTTCAATCAAGGATTTTTGTTTATACATTTCATAATTTTCATTATATATACATATACTTCAACTGTTTGATAAATCAGTGGTGAATGAATGGAATTGAATTTTTGCTTACACTAAAATGTTTTTAATATGGAACTAAATTACATTTAAATTATTTAAAATGGAATTTTTCAAAGTCCTTATAATATGCATTAGTTACTAAGATCAGTAAGTAAACAGTAAATATTTTACTTACTCCACTTTAACTGCTACTTATTTTTCTTGTATCGGAAAGATCTATGTTTTCTAGTTGAATTATAAAAACTATAAAAATTGTATTTATACATTATATTTGATTTAAATGAATACTATTTTTTTTTATTTGTATACTTTTAGTTCAAAGATATCAAACTAATGCCACAACTATTGTTTTATTGTTAGCTCCCACACAATTATAAACAAAAGCAAGCAGCCAAACATTTATTATCCGCAAATATAAACAATCTTTCAGGAAAAATAATAAAAGTAGAATTCTTATTAAAATAACCAAATTTAATGTTTTTATATTTTTATTGATGTGTTATAAAAATTTTATTATAATATATTTTTTATTTTGTATTTCTATTTGTAGGCGGACCAGGCAAAGAGGGTCGAACAACAGAAGCACAACATCAGCCATACAAATTTATTTTCAATCGTAAAGCAGTTATCATAACATCAGCAATTATCGTTTCTACGATACTTATCGGAATACTCATCGTTGCGACTAACCATTGGTTCAGATCATCGATACGTAAAAGTAAGCTAATTGGGGATGGCGATGATTCGAGAAAGAATATTCCAATCAATTCAACAATAGGTATTTTCTTTCTAAGAAAAATTAACTGAATCGTTTTTAAAATTTGTTGCTTGAATTGGTACTTGGGGTCTAACAACTCTCACATGTAGTTGACATATGCACAAACTAATAACGTAAACAATTTCGCGTTCAAAGTAAATTTTAAACTGATTAAGTTCTAATTAAGTTAAATTAAAAAAAAAAATTTCTTTTAAAAAGTGAAAGTTAAAGGCACAAAAAAAAATGAAATATCAATCAAAGTTAAGTTGAATGGAATTTTTCTTTTTTATTCAAAATTTAAAATTAAAAATAAAAATGTGCAGTTAATTTTAATGAAAAATTTTAGACCCCGACGACGATAATGACGAAATTGGCTCAAATAGCACATTACGTTTCCTTAAACGCGACAAATGGAGTACAAGACCCCCATCAGGTACATTGGACAAACTTAAGCTACCTTCCCATCGGGTTATTATATCTCATACGGCCACTAGTGTCTGTGAGGATATGGTAAATACATGCAATATATAAACATTTTATAGAAACGTAAAACAATTTTTATAAAACAGGAAAATTGCGTCCAAACTCTAAAAAATATACAAGCTTTTCATATGGATTCACAGAATTGGAGTGATATTGGTTATAATTTTTTAATAAGCAGTGATGGTCTGGTATATGAGGGACGTGGATGGGATAATGTGGGCGCACATACGAAAGGCTATAATTTTGATAGTGTTGGAGTTTCGTTTATTGGAACTTTTAATACAATAGAACCGACCAAGAAACAGCTTAATGCAGCTAAATTACTGATTGAAGATGGTTTTCGGAGAAAAAAACTGGCTACTAATTATCATGTTTATGGTGCACGACAGTTCGGTGCTACTGAAAGTCCTGGAAATACACTATATAATATAATAAAATCTTGGCCTAATTGGTCAGCCGTTATTTAGAAATAACAATTGGAATCTTAAATAAAATTTTAAATAATTTAAATTTAGTGCAATTTAATTGATTATGTTATGTAAAATAGTAAAATAATTAATTTAAAAAATTGGTGTAAATGTGGAACTAATATTAAGAAAACAAAATTATATGCAGGTATTATATTTATAAAATAAATAAATAAAACTTTAATTATAAGCACATAATACAGTATTTTTAATAAGTTTTCAGAAATTTATTACGACCATTATTTTTAGATTTTTGAATGTCTGGCACTGAAAAACTAGACCACAAGATCGCTATCGATCTCCTAAAGTGCGACTCTTGTAAAACCAATAAAATCAAGTTGGCAGATAAATAAAATTGATTGACTATTATTGAGAATATCTATATAAAATTGTTGCCAAAAAAGGTTTTCATTGATAATCATCTAGGGGAATGAAATTTAATGGCGAAGAAATTTTTCTAACAAAATTTAAAAAATATTTATGATATAATTGTCTGCAGGTAACTTTCAATATTGATATTTTTGTGCCATATTTGGTGTCATTGGATTCTATATATTAAAAAATGATGAAATCACAAGAGAATATATATAATTCCAACATTAGAATCGAATATTTTAAATACTCGTAGTGCTTGAGTTTCACTATATAACATATGAAGTGCTTGATTAGCTGAGCTTCTCTTTGTTGTATTTTATTTTCTATTAGCTTGTCACAATATAAAATATACATAATATCAAGTACTCAAATATAATATGGAGCTTAGATATTTTAGAATAGCTTGCTTAAATAAATTTATAATTTCTTAAAAATAACTCATTTATAGTTCGCTAGATCTTATACGACCCCATAATCGAAATACTACGTGAATAGAATTTAATTAAAATGCTGCTAACATAATTTTATCACTTTATGTTTGAGCATTCACATATTCTTAATATTTTAATATTTCTTAGAATCTATATACACAGCACTAGGTAAAAAATGTTATAATATGTAACATATCAATATTAACAGTGTATATATAATGCAAAATCTTAACTAACTACTGGTTTCTTTTATGTTAATTTGATTCTTTATTTATCTGCTGATTCTTATACCTCGTCTTAATAATCCATTATATAGTTAGAATTTAAGCTAGTTTTTTGAGAGATTGACAAACTATTTAGATTTAGTTCTGAATATTTACATTCATTTACAAATTATCTTAAATAAATACTTTGAATAATAAGCGTAAGGATACCGCTTTTTGCAAAAGTTTTTGATTGTACACTCAACTGACATGATCCTTTTTTTCTATGACCGGGGCAAAAATTAACACTTAGAGAAAAGTATTTCAAACTAAAGCCTAGTATTTTCTATTTCGTACGATAACTTGTATGAATATCTAATTTTCTATAACATCCAAATTTTATGGAACATATTTTATATGGAGTTTTAAGTCGCTTTTTTGTACAAAAAGGATATTAGTACTCCACTTAACTACAAACATAAAAGAAAACTCATAGGAAGAGTTGAACAACATGCCTAATTAGCCTACGAAAAATGTATGAAGAATGAGGTCGTACACTAACAGAATAATACTTTTTGTCCATTCTGTTTTACAATTCTGGATAATTTGTATACTAATTCTACTCTAAATTTACTCTTATTTATCTACTCTAATTTACATTTAATACTTCACTTTGTGCATATTGACTTTGAAGTCAATATCATCACTATCATCAATATCATTAGATCCGCGATCCGTATCGAATCTTAGCCTCCAGAATTCTAAATATCGGTGTATAACTTCTCTTTTTACTTCAATATATCATCGTTTATCACATCAAAGAATTTTTAAATTTAATTATTTATAATAATAAAATAATAACTAACATATACGCTTTTCAATTTCAGACAAAGATAACTTGGGTAGTGGAAAAGTATTGAGAATAGTACCACGTGATGGTTGGCTTGCACAGCCACCTTCAAAACCGCTCTTATCTCTTAATTTGCCGGTATCTAAAGTTATTGTTTCATCTACTGATACAGAAGATTGCACCACACAAGTAATATTTTACAATTCATAATTAAGAAAAAAATAATAACAAATAATTAAATTATATTATATTTTTTAAATTCAGTCCACTTGCACCTATCGTGTACGCATCTTACAAACATACAATATAGAAGCCACACATTATGATGATATAATATACAATTTTCTAATCGGTGGTGATGGAAATGTTTATGAAGGACGCGGTTGGGATAATGTGGGAGCACATCTCAAAGGTTGGAATGATAAGAGTATCAGTTTAGCATTCATTGGAACATTTAAAAAATTAGAACCGAATGAAAAACAAATGAGTGTGAGCAAACTCTTACTTGAAGAAGGTGTGCGTTTGGGTAAACTTACAGAAGATTACAAAATTTATGGTGCCCAGAAGATCGATCCAAATGCCGGCATAATAGCCGCAGATAAACTTTATGAAACCTTTAAAAACTGGCCACAATGGTCAGAAAGTCCTAGTTCTACTAATGATTAATTACTATATTTAAAAACATTTAAGAACTTAGTTACGTAGATGTATAGATATATAGATATACATATATTTCAAATAGATGTTAGTATAGTTTATATTTGTATACATTAAATTCATGATTTTATATATGTTTTTGCTTTTAACGATAAGCTATTTTACAATTTTACTCAAACATATTAGTTAAATAAATTCGACTGCTAAATTTATTAAAAATTATATGTAAAAATTATAATTTATGTTATTACACTCAAAGTTTATAAAATATAAAAAAAAATATTGTAAGTTTTTAATTCGAATATATATAAGCTATTTGTATATAAAAATATAAAACTAGTTAAATCTGAAAGAATTTTAAGATTCTTTAAAGTTTACAATGTAAATTTACATATAAGTCAGAATTACTTTTAAGTATTCATACAATTATTTTACAGTATATATGAAAAAAAGTATTTTCCTCGAAAAAAGTCTATAGACTTTATAGGTCTATAGATTGTCAAAAGTCAAATATTTTTATTAAATTTACAAAAAAATAGTTATTGTCCTCAAAATTATACAAGAAAAATATAAACGGATGTATGAAAATTTATAATGTTTATTATTTTGTTTATGCCTGTTTTATTCAAATTTGTTTTGATTTCAATTTACATTTTATAGTATATAATGTGATATTTTTATTTTAATTTTTGTGCAACGCATTTATTTTTATGAAATTATTATTATTAAACTAAATTTTAAATAGTAAAACAAACTGTTAAGAAATTATATTTTAATAAAAATACAAAGATTTTTGTTTTCAATTTCAAAAATATGATAATAATGATATTAATTATTTTATTAAATTAATAGAAACATGCCAAAAATACAGAAGTGGTATTCACAATGTCAAGTAACGGACATGGTAACCGAATATCGAATAGCAATGAAAATCTACCGCAAAAAAATGTTTATACTCGAATTGCGTGTTGTTGCTCACTCGGTTACAGAACTCGTTACCCAAAATCGTGAAAAGCACTTTTATTACAATAAAAAATTACGCTTTAAACTTTAACTAATAAATGGCTGCAAAAATCCTCTAAATATAGTGACCAAGAATTGGTAAATTGGTGAAGCATGTTGATGATTTGCAACAAAAGAATATGAAAATTAAACTGAATAAACGAAAGTAGGGATAACTCGAAAAGGCATTACTTAAGTCTTAAATACGTTGTAATAAGACCCTACAAAACTAAAATCAATACGGCGGTAACTCATTCCCTTTAACGTATTTTGACATTTGGGATTACAAAAACACTAATTGATTTTATGAATAAGTCTATGTTTTTGATAAGAAAAAGTTTATTTATACACATATTGCTTAAGTCTTTTATAAACAAAACTAACTATAAAAATTCTCAAAATTTATAATAGTATATTGGGATACATAACAATCACCATCCATGATGAAATTATATCCTTTTCGAATTTTACTTGACATAATAAGAACTGCTACAACAATCCCAAATTACGACATTATACTTCATAATTATATCTCAAAAGATAAAGTGAAAAATAATTTTAATGAACAATTATTAAAAAATAAATACAATCTCTTCAAAAGTGCTGCATCTCTAAGCCTGTCTAATTAAATATTTAAATCAATTAAAACTGAATGATATATGGTAGACAAAGACAAACCTAATAATATCGATTCATGAGCACAACGGTATCATATATCATAAAAATATATCGATTGTAATCTTTTGTGCCGTTTGGATCGTAAAATTCGTCAGAAAGAAAAAAACAGAAATTATTTTCATTATAATAACATATATATTCACACATACTGCTAATATATTTAATGTTTTCTCAGATTTGGATTCCTCCATTATCTATTACCAATTCCTAATTGTGAAAATATAAATATATATCCAATCATAAAATTTAAGACTAAATTTTTCATACTTATAAAAATAATTAGATAAATCTGAAAAGGTTTAAATATTGCAATTTAGTCTGTTTATAAATAATTATTATTATACTGACCTAATCGCTTTTATTTTAATTTCAAACAAATGTTTATTTTAACTCTTATCATAACATTTAATAATATCATATCATTTTTCTTGGTATTATTTTCATTCTTTTGCTATTAGAGGTGCGATTAAAATTTTTTTAATACCAGAAAAACTTAATCTTATCACAAATATTATATATTATCATGATTAATGATTGCAATAAATAAATTAATTAAATAGTAATTACTTATATTAATTACATATCATAATTCAATAATGAAGTATAGATGATTACATTAATATTTATGGTAATAATAATAAAAATTTTATGATCATGATATTACAAATGTTTTTTGATATATGTAGAATTTAACACATTTCTTAAATTAATTTTTTTTAGCTTTACAATATTATTAAAAAATTATAATGACCATTCTGAAATCCCTTTGGGAAATTCAAATGGTTTCGTTATTAAAATAATTTATATTGTATATTGTTATTAAAATCAAAACATTATAAACGTTTTTCAATGTTTGATCAAATAAATGATTTAACATATAATTTTATATATATAAAGGAAGCATATAATTTCTTTGCTCCAAAAAAAACTACTTAATATTTATTTTGATGTAACCAAAATAAATAAATAGAAAATTATAATTTTTTAATGAATTATTTTACTTTTATATTTTACATACATATTTAAAGAATATCTTTATCAATATGCACAACTTAGAAACTATTTAATTACTCATTTATATCCGTGTATTTATTACATTCGCTACATATACTTTACACCCAAACAAACGCAATCTGAATTTTTCCAATTTTTCTATTAGCCTCTCTGCTTTAAATCAGAGTCATTTAAACAATAGTGTAAACAACCACTAATTAAAATTAATTATATTCATTATATTCATTATATATTACATTATTATATTCATTATATTCACACATATAGTGTAGGGAACCAATTGGTACTCTACTGTATTATAAGGACGAGTCCATGTAGTTGTTTTATACATTCTCTTTAAAAACTACCAAAAATATTTCAGACCTGATACCTTTTGGTAATTAAAATTAATTAAAATTAATTTGGCAATTTTACAAAAACAAATCAGTTGTTTTAAGTGTCGAGCACGTTTGAATATTCCTATTTAGTAACCAAATTGCTTCGTTATTTAAATTTTTTTAATGTTTGGTATGTCCAACTTATATATTAAAGTCAACTTATATATATACTTATATATATATATAAAGTTATAAAAAATGTTGCTTCAAGAGCTTCAATCAATATTTTGATTACCTTATATTTAATTAATAATAATAATTAACTACAATAGAGGTAATCAATCCCCATTTAAAACATTCTCATCTTTAAAATTGTTTACCAATATAATTCCGTAGGATTACCCAAATTTCCAACTGGGATTGTTCAAATGTATATAATCGTTTTTATCTTTATTGCATTATGGAATTAAAAGAATCATTTTTATTTGAAACAAAAATTAATGAAATATAATTTTATTTACTACTTTAAACATCTATAAGATTATAAAATATTTTATTGGAACTTCAAAGTACAAAAATAGAAGTAAATATTTTTGCATTTTAAAAAAATTCTATAAGAAGTCGTAATTAAATTTATTTAAAAGATTGCTAGCGCAAATAGCTATTGCATTCAAGTGGCAGCATTAGTGCGGTGCAAACCTACGAAGCGGTTTGTTATAAAAAACTTACAACACAAAAAAAAAAATAAATAAAATAATGTATTCAAATGAATATAAAAATTTAATAATTTTTGTTAATTTATTTGTAACAATTTTTTTAATCGGTGTTCTTGTGTTAACTTGACAAATAATGTGTGGCGTAAGTTAAAAATAATATTATATAAAATTAATTAAGTAAAATTAATTTGTTAAAAATGTATTATAAGAATATTTTAGAAAAAAAGTTATTTGATACTTTTGAAAGTATCTGCACATATATATAGATGTATAAATTTATCTAATATATGAAAATCACATTAAATGCTAACAAATTCAGCAACTAATGAAAATAATGAAAATATAATATAACTAATGAAAATATTCTTTAAGCATAGCATTAGTTAATGCATTTTTGTTGTATATATCACTACTGCATTAACTTTTTTTTTTGGTTTTATAAGTTTTTAGTCAATAAAGTTTCAAAGTTTAATATTTAAAAATTTGTATTATATTTTAGCATTATATACAATATAACTATGCATAATTTCAATTTTTTCGTAAAGTGTAAAGTTCATATGTATTAAAATAATCTACATTTACATAAGCCAATATTATATATAATTTATACATACATAAATGTATTTAACATTTTCTTATCGTATATTTTTATCATTCTTTGAGAAACAATAAGTTTAAATAATAAGTTTAAACAATAAGGTAAACAATAACAACATATCAATTGATTCGGCGGTTTTCATAAACATTTTCAGCGTCTCAATTAATGCCCTAATAATTTCCTACCACTGTACTTGTTAATTAAATCATTAACATTAAGACAGTTTTTAATAAATTTTTGTTGATTTGCTTTTGTTGTCGTTTGTTTTATCTATTTAATAATATTTTTTATTATTGCACATGCAAGTTGCGTCATATAAAATTTAATATATTGTTGTGTAAATGAAATTGATATTTTTTATTAAAATAACGTTCACACATTTCTTCAATATAGTAATTGATTGTTTCATCAAAGCTACTTGTTTGTTAAGTGCACTAGTGATAAATCACTTTATAATTATTGTGCAAAGAATTTATTCAATTATATTCAAATATCAAAGTGTGAATTTCCAATAGTTATTTATTTTATTCTTGTAAACATTTGGCATTGTAAGTGTATGACGTATATTTGATGCATCTTATTGTTTTTATTAGTGTTAATTATAATATATGATATATTAAAAATAGTAATAAAAACGTATTTTATGAGCACAGTTTAGGTTTTTTATTATAATAAAATTTAAAAAAATTTTAATAATAATTATTAATAAATATTCTTTTACTTACCAAAATCAATATATAATGTTTTTACTTGTAAGATTTGAAATATTTAAATTGCATTTATTTGATATGGCAATACTATTAACGGCAAGTAACCGTCATCGCAAAGCTAAATTTGCAGACTTTTTCACACATTCACTGATCAAAACCATAAATGGTAACACATTAAACAAGGCACTTCTTATTCACTTATATTTTGTTATTAAAAATATTGAAACCATATTATTCTTTTGTAAAATATTTTATTTATATTAAAATTAAAACATTAACTATTACTTTTAAACACAAAAAAAATTCAACCATGATAACTATGAGACACAAACCACCACATGAACTTCACTTTAACTACTACTCCGTTAATGGCAGCATTGGCTTAATGAAATATGAAGAAAACAAAATTTTTTTCATGCAGAAAAGTACACAGAAAGAAATTGTTGATGTCAACATTAAATCCCTTTAGCTGCTAAAGTTTATATATATATGAGTAAAAACTTTTGTTTTATATATAAAACAAAATTTATGTCAATATATTATTAAATATTACTATACTATTCAGTTAATTTTACACATAATTAACACATACAAATAATAAATATTTTTTTATTCTCTTGCAGGTCATTTAAGGATCAAATATGCGGAAAACGATATATTGGAGATTTAAATTCAATCTGTAACAAGTCAAAAATTTTAAAATTTATAATTATTGTAGTCTCTTAATTAGTTTACTAAGATGAATAATAAAATAAAAACATTTATACAAATTTAAAAAAATGACATTTTTATTTAATTCGTAAATGCAAATAAAAATAAGTTTTGTATCAAACGATAATATGATCACTTATCATAATAAAACATGTTTTTTTTATTTCAAAGAAAAATTGATTAATTGAGAAAAAATATATATATGTGTAATAATGTTAAAAAAAAGTTTTAAAATTGTTTACTGTTTATAATAGTATTATTACCCTGATGAGATTACATTTCATTTTAATAATATTGTCGCCCGTAATTAGTACACAAAACAAAAACAAAGTTTTTTTTTCCTCACTATCCAAACTGTCAATGTGCTATGTAAAAAACCACATCTTATTGGTAAGAAGACGATTAGACAACACATTCTAGGAACAACTTTTAAATCTTTAACATAGTTTTGCTATATTAGCCTGTCAGAAGCTTTTCATTACATTTGTTCCTAAGATCCAAACTGTTGATGTTCTATGTAAATAAGTCGCGTCAAAGTGGTCAAAAGATAAAAGCTTAAGTCTACACTTCTAAACACTTGTCAAAGTTTTGCAATATGGATGCAATTTTCAAATGCTCAGTTTGAACTTGTTGACCTATTCTCTGGTATTTTTTTCTACTGTTATCGATTTCTGATATATTTCAACATATTTATAAATACTGCATATTTATAAATATATGAAGTCAATATATATTTACATATATCTAACAGATATAAAAAATATTTAGTAATTCCTTATAAATATTTATAACTATAACTTATAACTTAAATTAATTAAATTTAAATTTAAATACATTTAGATTAAATTTAGATTAAATTTAGATTAAATTTAATTTAATTCCAACAAAAATTGCAACTATATTTATAATAACTATATATACAAAAGTCTTTAAAAGACTTGGAGAACAGATTGGAACAAAATATTTATTCAAAGTTTAATATTTAAATTCTATAAAAAACTAATACTATATTAATTAAGACTTTGATTTATTTAAATAGAAATTAAATATTATTACACATAAGTAGTATTTTACATTTAAACCTTGTTTTATTTAAATTTTAGATAATATTACTAAGTGTTCAGAATGTGTATATAATTATCAAATATTTACATCTTATTGCTTATCAATATATTATTTATGTGATTATTTATTATTAAATATTATGTACTCCAATGCTTCCAATGTTTAATCTCATCATATAAAGCTTGACCTGAACTTGACCTGACCGCAAATTGTGTATGCCCAAAAAGTTTATAATCTTCCGATCGCTTGCCCAATTGAACCCCAGGTTCTATTAATGATTTTGCTGTATCTAATGCATGTATTATCCGATTAATGTACCATATCTGATTGGAATATGGTACTTTTAGTAATGTTATTGTTTGCCTGCTACGGTTATATGTAAATGAATCATTAGCTGACGCCGCAGTTGTGACATATTAAAATCTTAATTTATTAGTTTGATTGTTATTATTTTATACATATATGTTTATATATATGTTTGAAATATCAGCCAGGAAAACTAGTTTAAAATTTATTGACTGGAAATATACACATATTACAAGCATATTATATATTTTCGCAATTAAAATTGGTAGTTGATAATGGAGGAATTCCAATATGAAAAATCATTTAACATATTAGCAGTGTTTGTGAATAAATGTGTAATTTTTATGAAAAACAATTTTTGTTTTTTATTTTCTGACGAATTTAACTGTCTAAACGATACAAAAGATTATAATCGATATATAGTATTGTTAGCTTTTTTGAAGAGAATCAATATCCCTTTTTCGAGATATCGCTACTTTGTTCTGTTCTATCTACACTATCCAAGAATCACATTTATTGGGTTTGTCTTTGTCTGTATCATTGAGTTCTAATGAATTTAAATAATTGACTATAAGTCTAGGCAATGTACTTTTCTACACCTATATTTCATAAGTTATTGTCAATTATCAGAATGTCTCTCGTCAAAGTATTATATCACTGACTTAGTAAATAATTTTGAGTTGTGTTAGCAGTTTTTAAAAGGATTTTGAAAAGGATAATATTTCACCATATGTATGTATCCCTACACACTAAATTTCGAATACTGAATTTTCTTGGTTCTTATAGTAGTTTTCTATATAAAAGGTTTAAATTATAAATTGTATTTCATCAGAAACATAGTTTAATTACATAAAATCTCTATCTAATCGCAAATATAGAAATTTCTTGAAGGAAATCATTTATTGCTGTACTGATTTTGATATATCCATACTTTTTTCTATTCCATCTCCACTGTCTATAAATTCTTGGTCAATATTTTCAGGGGACTTGTTACAACTATCGCTTGATAAAAGTTTGAAGTGTTATTATTAATATAATAGCAATGCTTTTAGAAGCATCAGCAACAATTCGAGTATAAAAATTTTGTTGTAGATTTCCATTGCTATTGTGATAGTCGGTTATCAAGTTCATTACTCGACATTGTGAACACCACTTCTGTATTTTTGGCATGTTTCTATTAATTTAATAAAATAATTAATATCATTATTATAATATTTTTGAAATTGAAAAAAAAAATATTTATCTTTTTATTAAAATATGATTTTTTAACAATTTGTTTTACTACCCATATATTCGAGTTAAAAACTTAACCATTTTTTATTTATATTTTATAAAACATTTACAAAATTATGAATTTAATGTACCCAAATAAAAACTATATTAACATCTATTTGAAATATATGTATATCTATATATCTATATATCTACGTAACTAAGTCCTAAATATTTTTAAGTATAGTAATTAATCAGTAGTAGTACTAGGACTTTCTGACCATTGTGGCCAGCTTTTAAAACTTTCATAAAGTGCATCTGCTGCTGTTATGCCGGCATTTGGAACGATCTTCTGGGCACCATAAATTTTGTAATCTTCTGTAAGTTTACCCAAACGCACACCTTCTTCAAGTAAGAGTTTGCTCACACTTATTTGTTTTTCATTTGGTTCTACTTTTTTAAATGTTCCAATGAATGCTAAACTGATACTTCTATCATTCCAACCTTTGAGATGTGCTCCCACATTATCCCAACCGCGTCCTTCATAAACATTTCCATCACCACCGATTAGAAAGTTGTATATTATATCATCATAATGTGTGGCTTCTATATTGTATGTTTGTAAGATGCGTACACGATAGGTGCAAGTGGACTGAATATAAAAAATAAAATATAATTCGGTTATTTTTTATAAATTTTTTCTTTATAATGTGTTTTAATATATTACTTGTGTGGTGCAATTTTCTGTATTAGTAGATGAAACAATAACTTTAGATACCGGCAAATCAAGAGATAAGAGCGGTTTTAAAGGTAACTGTGCAAGCCAACCATCACGTGGTACTATTCTCAATACTTTTTCAATACCCAAGTTAAATTTGTCTGAAATTGAAAAGCATATATGTATGTAAACTAATTTTTTATTATTATTAAAACTAATTAAAATTAATTAAAATTAAAATTAATTATTATTTTCAGAATTATTTTATGTAAAAAGGATGATATATTGAAAAAAAAAAAGTTATACACCGATACTTAGAAGTGTTTAACCTATTCTCTACCACTTTCTTCTACTGTTACCAACAATTATCTACAGATATGAGACATACCCACATATTTATAAATATATAAGGTCAACTTATATCTACATATATCTACCATAAATATAATAAATATTTAAAATATTTCTCTTAGAAATTACCTTATAAAAATAAAGGTGATTTAGATAAAAATTGAATATCATTCTAATGAAAATTGTAATTGAGATTTGGACAAATGATTGGAACAGAATATTTTATTCAAACAAACTAAAGTTTATTTTTTTAATTCTATAAATGTAACAAACTAATATTATATTAAGTAAAACTCTGATTTATTTAAATAGAAATTTAATATTATTATAGATTAGTAATATTTTACATTTTTACATCATTTTATTTAAATATTAAATAATATTACTAAGTGTTCGTAATATCTTTATAATTATCAAATATTTATATCTAATTGTTTTTCAATATATTATTTATATACTTATTTATTATTAATTGTTACGTACTCCAATGCTTCCAATGTTTAATCTCATCATATAAAGCTTGACCTGGACTTTCAGTAGCCGCAAGTTGTCTATGTCCAAAAAGTTTATAATCTTTCGATAGCTTGCCCAATTGAACCCCAAGTTCTATTAATGATTTTGCTGTATCTAATGCAGCTGCGCTTGGAAGAACTTTTTCAAACATGCCAATAAATCCAATACTTATGCTACCAGCGTTATAACCTCTAGCAACCGCACTTTGATAATTCCATCCACGACCTTCATACATATTTCCATCGTTACCAATTAGAAAATTATAACCAATCTCAAAGAAATTAAGACTTTTCATTTGAAAATTCTGAATATCTCTCACAATTTGAGCACATCTCTTCTAAATAATCAATCAACAATAATATATGTATATCATATATTATAACACATAATAATATTAAAACAAATACATACAAAAAATGAATGATTAATTTTATTTTACTTACATTATCGTCACAATTATTACTAGCTGTATGCGCTATTATTACTCTAGTTGCTGGTAAATCCAATTCCGTTAGTTCCCCCGTAGCATCTAATCCTTTCCAGTCATGTTTCGTTAGTATAGAAATATCTCCACTGACCATATTAATTATTAAAAATATGCAACAAAACAATGAAATATTTTCCGGCTTCATATTTTCAAAAATTAGCAGAATACACTAACTTTCAGCTCAAGTTTCAATAGAACAATGTGTCTCTTTGACTGAAACACTGAAATTTATAAATTTAAACACTGCAGCGAATTTCTCTGATAGCCTTTGGTACTTTTTTTTTCTAGATTGCAAAACTCTTCACCCCTACAATTGATGTAATTGGGTATTATAAACGCACCGATGAGTTGGTAACATTCAACTAATGCTAAAACTAATGCTAGACTAGTATGAACCGCGCAAAAGACAACTACATTCAGAAACTAAATGTGTGATAGTCTGCCGTGGGTTTTTCAAAAAATTATTTAAAACCAATAAACCAATAAATGTCAATATATTTATAGTTTCATTATATATAGTATATAAATTATGTATATAATTTATATATATATAATATGATATATAAATTTGTATTATTTTTTTCACAATTTTATTCGATGGGAAATCTCTAGAACTAATTGTTTTATAATTTGAATATGTATGTAGAATGTTAATATTAATTAAATTATATTGTTTAACTTATAATCACTAATGTTATGTGCTACTAAGTCGGTTTTCTTTAAATAAATTATATTTCAAGATTGTATTTTCAACTATATGTGCTCTCTTTTAAGAGCGGAACTCAGCACTCAAACTGTAAACATTACAATATCTACTAAAAGTACTTATCCATTAATTGCTTGCGTCACAAAAATAAGAAAAAGAGTTTTATACATAATAGCAAATATTTACAAATCTTTTTCAACTTTAAAGAGGAATCCCCTTAAAATTTATGACAAATACAGCCAGCTATCACCAATTGTGAAACACCATACATGACATATTTACAATTAATTGCTGAAAATCACGCTATGATCTCAGTAACTTTAGTTATAATAAAAAAAAAGAAATTTCTAGTTATTATTTATAACAAAAAATTTAATAAAATTATTAGCATTTTTATATGAACCTCAATATATAAATGAAGTAATATTTATCCATCACAAACAGTATTTATTACATAAATATAAAAGCTTGTACATAATATTATATGAAAAAATAAATATATAGTGAATTATTTATCTAATATCATACATGTATACAATATAAAAATATATAACATATTATCCGATACTGTATAAAGGAAAGCATAAAGGAAAGCGAAATTACGCTGGGCGTCAATGTGTTCCTACCTTAAATGTCAGAGATCGTTACTTGATGAAGGTTAGGTTAGGTTAGGTTACTGGGGCCGTCCGAAGACTCACTTAGACCATGAGGTCCATTGTGATACCCTAAAGAATTTGACACCTTTCCCTATAACCACTTGGTATTGGCTACAAAGCCATTGACACGAGCTATGGAAATAGAATCTAGCTCTCTTAATGAATAGAAAAAATTAGACCCTAAGTAGGATAGTCTATGTCTTGCGAAGGCAGGACACTGTAGCAGAAGGTGTGTTGGTGATTCCTCTTCATCATCCTCCATGCAATGCCTACAATGTAAGGAGGTCCTGATGTTGAGCCTCAAGGCATGTCCTCCCAACGGGCAGTGTCCCGTAATAATTCCCACTATCCTGGATAAATTTGCTCGGGATAGATTGATTAATTCCCCCGATCTTTTCTTACTTATTTTTGGCCAAAATTCCTTGGTTTTTATGCAGTTGGTTACTGTTGACCATCTTCTTTCAAACATTTGGTATGTCCATAATTTTATTCGGTGCCGACAAGAAGCAACTGGTATACCCACTGATGAAAGAAATCCAAAAAATCAAACGGAACTAGAGATACATTTTCAACAACAACCGAGATACAAAATCTAAAAGAAAAGTGTGTCCAATAAAAATATCCATTTTTTGTTTTAATTTTTGAGTCGTTACTTCGAAAATGTTTAAATGCGGTTATTTTTGTTTTTTAAAATATACTAACTTTTATTTCGAAAGTTTTTCTTTGTGTATCTCTACACGTGTTTCGGCAAATTCGCTTTTGCCTTCATCAGGAGAATTCCTAATATTATTTATTAGGAATATTATTTATTTATTATTATAATATTAGGAATTCTCCTGATGAAGGCAAAAGCGAATTTGCCGAAACACGTGTAGAGATACACAAAAAAAAACTTTCGAAATAAAAGTTAGTATATTTTAAAAAACAAAAATAACCGCATTTAAAAATATCCAGTTATAAAGTCAAATTTCTAAAAATATGTTATTTTAATCCTAAAACATGCTTTGAGGTTATATCAATATAGCTTTTTTTATTTTAGTAATTTTGGAAATAGGTTATTAATAACTTCTCATTATTTTTGTTTCCAGAAAACATTATTTTTCATCCCAAAATTTTAAGAAAAAAATATTTTTGATTGTGTTTTGGACTTCAATATCTTAGGAGTATTAATACGAGATACCCTGTATATTAAAAATAAATATTGTAGAAAATTTTATTTTTCACACGGTTAAATCAGGTTTGTACTATTCAAAACTGCAATACGAATGAATAGGGAAACATATGTCTAAAAATATTGTAAATATACTTATCTCACAAGTAAATGTGATAAGGATAGTGTCGTCCAAATAAAAAATATATCCATATTTATTAAGAATACAAGCAATTTAAGAAAATTATTTGCTTTACTTAATACGGAACATATTCATAATTTATAATATTTTTTTAAATATATTTTCATAAAAATATTCTAAAACATCTTAAATGATTCAATAATACTTACCTTCAGAGCATTTCACACAATCTATAGATACCAACGTCTTTTTATCACACTTTTAAAATATGATTTTTTTAGTTAGTTAATAATTAACAATTAAATAATAATTAATTAAGAAAGTATTGAGTTTAGATCTATTTCAGCTAACAGATTTTAGAGTTTCAACTTTGAAATTAAAATTGGTCCATAACTGCGCAAAAATTTTCTCTTTGATATTTTTAACGAAAAATGCCACCTGATGAATAGATAACCCACAGAAAGGTTTGGGTCCTATGAACGGAATAAAGTCTCGAGTAATTATGTAACTGTTCATACAAATTCTTTGCATTCATTCCTGTTTCTAACGAAAAACGTAGTCGACTAAAAGTATTCTGTATTTCATTCCCTATTGTCCTACGCCAAGATCTAGCTTGAGTCTTGGAAATACTTTATTAATTCAAAAACATAGTGGTAAGGATATATCTGCACATATAACAATCCCAATAAGAGTTTTCCTTATTTGAAAATACGCTACTTGACAATGAACTGATTATTATAAAACTTACTAGAGTAGTGAATTGATGGAAGTTAAGAATGCTGATCCACCTTCTGTATTACCATCCCTAATTTTTAAAACACACAACAATACTTAGATTATTATATGCTAAGGAATCCAACTAATATATCGAATATTAAAATACACAAACTGAACAGATTTATCAAAATCACCAAGCTAATTATATCGATCATATCATATCGCAATATACCTCAAAGTGATATGACGTATATAAAAGGAAAGGGGTTTTGGGATTCAAATTTCACTAAAATATTTTAGATCATTTTATACTAAATATATTTAATATTTTCAATCAAATATCTAAATACGTCACTGATGAGTTCAATTTACAACTAATCGTATGTTTTCATCCTAATTGGTGTTTCAAAATGTTTCAGTATTATGACGTTCTAACAGTTCGAGCGACTCGATAAGCTGACCCTAAATTCTCAACCATGAACGTACTCGAACATTCAAATTTAATGCTCGAGCAAATTTAATCAGCTCGAATAATATTTAAAGCTATGAGTCAAATCTAAAATTTAATAACTTATCAAAATACAATTTTGTATTTTTTTAATATTTTATATTTTTTTAATATTTTATGCTTTTTTATTATTTTTTATTTTTTTTAGACTTTTATATTTTTTTAATATTTTATTTTTATGTACAAGTATATACTATTTATTTAAGTATATGTTTCAAACACATACTCACATAAATATATCGGAATTTTGTTTTCGTAACTTATAAATTAAAAATATTTGCTTCAAATTAAACACTTAATTTAATATATATACAACGTTAATATGAAATAAATTTATAAAATATGTATAATTGAAAAAAATGAGGTTCTAAGTATTGCGTTCATATAGCATAACTCAAGACCCTTTAACAATTATACTTGAATCGAATTGCACAGGAAGCCCGTGCATTGGATAGATAAAAGTATTTTATTCTAATATTTCTAATATACTAATTTATATTTCTAATTTATATCAGTTTAGTAAGCTGATGTAAAATACAATTAAATTCTTTTAATAATTATTAACAAATCCTCCATTAAATTTGCAAAGAAAATACATACATCGTTCTATATAATCTTAACATTTCGACTCTTGTTTTGTAAATAGCTGCATTAAATCACGTATTTCACATACGAAACACCTAAAATATCTTATATATCGCTATACCATAGCTAATAAAAATCAGTGAATACACTTTTCATCCTTTGCATTATTATTTTATATATTTTTTTATAATTTTCTATCTAACAAATTTGCAATAATACTATTACAATTTTTAAATAAAAAAATTTTCTTTTCATAATACAAGTGCCTAAATATCAGTTTATAATACATAGGCAGATACAATTTTTGAAATTTTATAACAAAGTAGAGCACTACAATTTGTTGTCCATGCCCATAGTTTAGTTTTAGTTTTTTATTGAACAATTGATCGACTAAAAATAAATAAAAATATTTATTTTTTTAAAGCAATTATATTGATATTTCTTTATATAAAAAGTTTAGGTATATATTAAACTAAAACGTTAATATGTACATATTGTGTTACATATGTAACTATGCTTTAATACATATAATGAATAGAATCATATTGTCGGTTTAGAGTGAAGAGGCGCTAAGTGCACTTTGAAAAATAATAATATATTAATAAATTTTTTGCTTTTTTAATATATTTTGAAATTTTAAATACACATGCAAATGGATTTCAAAAAAATCCATAATTATCAAATTATACACAAATTTTTGTTTTATAAACACATTTTTGTTTACATTAGTTTACAGCTTTTGTGAATTAGACTTAACACATTTTGACTTTAAATCGACAATATATTGTTTTCTTAAGCACAAGTAAAAACATATATAAACGAAACTTATACAAAATTCAATATAAACTGAAAGTAGATAGTATATAATTAGTTTTTGTATCTATTTTAATAAAACATGAAAATTACAAATTATATAAAAACTTAAACTAATTTAAATTCAAATTTAATAATATTTAAATATTACAAAAATTATTAAACTTTATTAGGTGCTTTATTAAAATTATAAAAAAGAGAATATACGTTTATTATACTACAATTAAATCGCACAGCACACAAAATTTACCAACAAATTTCTTAATTATATTATTTCATTGTGTTCACATTTTATCTTATTTAAAATAATATAAAATTAAATTTTAAAATAATGTGCAATAAAATGGCAATAAGATAAGTGTAAAAGTGAACATATATTAAAAATAATAATTATATTACAATATTGATATCATAGTTTTTTTTTTTTGCTTAAACTAATAACACTGCGCAAAATTCTTTTTTTTTTAATTCTGCAATTGTTCTTCTTCTAAACACTTCAGTTTCTGGCAATAACGGATTAAAGCTCAAAAATTGGGGTTCCAAAGGGTTAATTAAAAATTAATTAAAAATTAATTAAAAAAGTTGATTAAAAATGTGTATTGGAACAAGTATGAAATTATAGTTTTTAGTAAACTCACTACGAACGAATAGACATGTTTGCCTTAGATATCATTTAACAAATCCTCCTTCCTCGGAGTACAAAGTGAGGTTTACTTTATCTTCCGAAATCATCGGAGGATATATGACATCGGAATGTCATATTTAAAGGCTAAACGCTATTGCAGTTTAACGTTATTCTCTCTATATTAGAGCCTTTAATAGCACCTTGCCGAAGCGCGAAGAAGAGCTCTATTTGTGCTTCATTGCAGCACTATTCTCAGTGACGACTTTTAAGTAACAACCATCTGCTTTCACAATAAAATTTTCAAATATCTCTTAAATCGTATTTTTGTTTACAAATTAATTTTAACAAAAAAAAATTTTAAAACAAATGAAAAATAAATTCGGAAAGGATGCCTAATGTAAAATAGTATGTCTATTCATTGTGGCAAGTTTACTAAAAAAAAAAGCGATATTCGTATCACCTAAAATAACCCCTTAAAACTTTAATTTTTAAACTTTAATCTCACCTAAATAAACCTAAAAACTTTGAAAAATCAAAAATAAAAATTAAAGACTTTATTTTTGTTACACAGTGTAATATGCAAATACAATGTAGGGAAAAAATTTAATATTTTTTGTAAAGGAACCAACCTGAATCAGTACAAAAATAGCATTCTCTTTAATCACTGAAACCTAATATTTATAAATATCTCTACTTTCTTTCTAAGTTCGTAATATAATCAAAAAGACGTTTCCGCTTAGCCAATCCAGCCACCGTATCGCCATTTTGCTTCTTTATAAAATGAAAACAGCTATTATGTACTAAATTCGGTGTAAACTCCATGCGTTCTTTTTCTTCATCTTCATTGCCAATCATAATGCAGTCATCTTCTATAATTTCTTCCTCTCCAACTCTAGCCATTTTTTCAGTTTGTTCGTTAAATTTTTGATCTGTTTTACGTAGAAAATTATATAAGGCAACACAACCCAGTATTACTTTACGAGCATTCTCTTCATCAATATTTAATGGAGATGCTAATATAGGAAATATATTTGTTAAAATACAGATTGCATCTTTCATATGATTATTGGTAGAGTCCATAGCAAAACAATATTCAATTTCCCTTACGGATCCGAAGCAATAACTTTGATCTTGACTAGTTGGCACATAATGTAATGAGTTCAGCATATATGTTGTAACTGGCATAGCACCACCACCGGCAAAATAATAACTAAATTTATTCTTTTCATTTGTTTCCTCTTGTGTAATATCATTACTTATTGGTATATTATTAGAAACTGTTTCTAGAAACTGTTTCGTTGTTGAGCACTCATAGATTGTATCATATGTTTTAGCTTTTGTCTTCTCTATGTCAACATACATGAAATTATTTTTTTGGTCTACAATAGCCGTAAAAATCATTGATGGCTTGAATTTAGTCTCTGTTACCGGTGGAGCATAACGTGAACCAGTATGAAATTCGATTTGCTGCATTACCAGATTTCCAATACAATTTGGTAATTTATGTTCACTTTGTATTGCATTTGCAATATTTTGCCACTGTTCATCAGTCTTTGGAAGTGAAACGTATTGGTCCTTCAGTGTTTCATACATTTTGAGGCAGATATCGGATATCATTTTAAGTATCACAGGTTTGGAGGCACGGATGCAATAATTGCGACAAGTGTGAAATTCACCTAAATTGAAAAGGAAAAAAAAAATAATTAATAAAAAATGTAATCAATTGATATTAAAAATAAATTTACAATTACTAATGAAATTTAATCATTTTTATGTATTATATTTTTATATATTTATGTATAAACTTTATATTATAAATAAAGCGCTTTGTAAAATAAATAGTGGTTTTAAAAAAATAGATGTAATATAGTGTGGTCGCCTGTCAGACATTTGAACAAATAGAAGTAGAGGTATTGTGTTTGAAGTAAGATTCGAACAAATAGAAGTAGAGGTATTGTGTTTGAAGTGAGGTAGGAACCTCAACATGTCAGTAATATGCCTATAATAAAAAATAAATACAAACGTTGCATATGTCCATTAAATGCTTTTTACATAAGCAAATGCAGTTTTTCAAGAAGCTGAAAGTTGCAGGGTCTCAAGTGAGATGAATACCAGAAATAATTAACAGTAAAAATATGATTTGTGCCCAAAAAATCTATCACCGTAACACTGTCCATCGATGAGAGCAAATTTTTGACGTCAGTGGTCCAAACTAAACATGTTAGGATTGTGCTACCAAACTACAAAACTCTTTTGATAGTTTTAACGTCAAAAAAACGTTTTCCATATACAGTGCCAAATCAGATGACTACATAGTGTTATTTTTATTTATTTTTTTTTTTTTTGAACGATAAGTCAAATTTTAGATCATCAATCAACAAATCATATGCACACTTTTCAGTTGATCAAATATTTGATCAAAATATGATTGATGTTTATGAGATGATAAATTCAAAATCCGTGGAATTTATTAAAAATTTTAGCTGATAGAATATGTGGTGGTCACGGATTTAAATACTTTCCAACATGTGTATCCCTATCAATGGTTTTAAATCAGTGTTCCATTTATAAACCTTGCGACAGTATAAACGCTTATCATCATAAACTTGGTTTAACAATTGAAACATTATAAAAAAATTAATTTTGCCTTATTTTAATATCACTAACAGAAATATATTGTCATTTCAAACACAATAACTTCGCTTCTATTCATTTAAACGTTATAAAATTTCGACAGATATATTAATATATAGAATATACTTTACAGATACAAAATTATTGCAAGTAAGTATTCTTAGTACATATATCTGTTTTAAAAAATATCTGTTTACTTTGGCATTCACCGCATGTTGTACATAAGTTTTTAATTGAAATGTTCATATATATATATATACAAATTTATATAGAAATACAAAAATCTGTTAATGAATAAATTTTTTTAATTGGTTGTACACATATGGTTTAAATTTCAGTCATAAAAATAATAAACAAATGCATTTTAAAAATTATAATTAATATTGCAATAATTAATATTGCAAATTATTTAGAAAATATTTAAAATATAATATTAATTTGAAACTCTATTTTCCTATAATAAGAACTCTTATTCTTATACCAAATTAAAAATGGGATGCGATTTTTTAGGACATAAAATATTAGTTTATAAGTATAATTGCTGAATTAAGGCCCTATGCTCCAATAGGAATGAAGGAAAATAGTAATAGTAGTACAATTACTCTCTATTATATATAATACACATTTATATATATATTTATATATGAATAAAGTTTATAACTTTAATTGCAAGGACATAATAAATAGAACAATAATAAATAGAATAAACAAATTAAATTAGCAATTAAATTGTAAATTAAATTAACAATTTTGTAGTTTATTAATTTTAATTATTATTTAATTGAAAGCATAATTATATATTTTGCTTTTTTTAGTCAGTATTTTAAGATATTAAAGAATTGAATAAAATATTTAAAATACTAATAAGAATTTTATATTAGCATTCTGATGACATTCTAAAGATATTAATAAATAAAAACTTATTAGTTTTAGTAATCAGTCACTTTTATTAATAATAATAATTAATAAGTTTTATTAATTAAGCAATCATTTTACGTTATGTTTATTGTTTTGTTTTGTAAACACAAAGTAAAATTAATTTTAAAGTTAACTAGGAATAAGAAAATGGTCAACTAGATTCCTCGTCGTCATAGTATAATATTATATTTAGTAATAGTAAAAGTAAATAGTATCATTATTATTCTGAATAAGACTAACATATAAAAATAATCAAATAATTAATAAATTCGTATACAAAGATTTTTTACAATTTTCTTAGAACAAATAGTTACATTAATATAATTAATATAACAATATATTTACGCAGCAAAAATTTAGTTAATAATTATTTAATGAAGCGATACCGATAAAACTGTAAAACATAACTTCAATATTGATGTTAATTTTTTAAATTAATTGAATTATTAATATGAAATTAATATTCATTATACTTTTTGTTTTTTCTTCTAAAATCGACAAAATACATAATTAGTTGTGTTTATTAATTTCAATATTGTAATTTCAAATAAGTTGTAATAACTAACAACGATTGATCTATCAATTATATTATAAAATAACAAGCAAATTAAAACCCTGTGCAAGTTCGAGTAAATTGAGGTAAAGTAAATTGAAATTTCCTTGGGATTTTTTGCACTGCACTTATGAAAATATTTATTTATTTATTTATTGCATTTATTGATTATTTTTGTTTAAAAGTTTTCAAATTTATTTATTTATTTTTTAAACATCTTTTAAAATTTTCACAATGGTAACACCTAGTTTACCTTATTTTTAACTAATTTACCCTACTCGAAATTCTGGTAAATACCAACATTCGCTACCATACCGACATAATTAACTATTTCCCTCAATTTACCATCAATTTACTCGAACTCGCACATGGCCTAAGTAATTATTAACATATGTTATATTTACCTGTTGCCAAATATTTAAGTGTAATAGCAATACGTTCTTCAGCACTGAAAAATTTTCTCTTGCGGCGCGGCTCGAATGTACTTATTAACGGCTCAAGCATAGTAACTAAATGTCGAAATTGCCGTTCAGTTATTTGCAGAAAACAATTTAAATAATATGTTTCATTATTTCGAAATTGTATTTCTTTGAGAATGTTCTCCTTGCTTAAGAATTCACTTTGATTTTTCTTAAGCCATTCTTTAGTCCATTCAAGACGGCGACGACTGTTCACAATGCCAGCCAAATCAAGTGCCGACATTTTTGGCAATTGACGTATTATATTTTCAGAATTACGACTTCCGCAATGTCCCGTATTTTTCTTGTGATTTTGTGCTTTTCCATCATCTTCACGTTCCTGCAGTACACTTAATACTTCAATTTTTAAATTCTCCATACCACAATTCTTTGTTCAAGAGCTACGCCTTATATTTTAGGCTTCTTAGGATTTGATTGTGTTGAACTTCGTCTTGACTATTTTTTACTTTTGTAAAAATGAAATAATGTTTATATAATTTAAATATATAAAACAAGATAATTACAAATTTCATGGCAATTTAAACAATACCTTTTTTAATGTTTTTTCAACTCAAACTCTTAACAGTGGAAATAAAATAAACGAACGTTGGCGAAGTTGTAATCCAGCACACGAATTGTTGGTGTACAAATAACACCAAAGAAATACGGAACTATTATTAACTGTAGTCTGTTACATCAGCATTTTTACATGATTTCAAACGGTATTCATAATATATAAAAACTTCTTAGTTCAAAATACATTTTAAAATTTCCAAAAACAATATTCTTCTAAAAGAAACACGACTCGTAAACTAAATAATTACATTCCCATATGTGGCTATACGAAGTAGACGATGGAACTAGAATTTTTTGTATTATCCATTTCAATTTTTTTTTTACATGTGCTGTCATTAGATGTCAGCTGCTTGCAGTAGCGTTGCCAACTTATATTTATTATTTTTATAAGAACTCTCCAATTAAAGTAGATTTTTCTGTATGTATGATAAAATTCATATGAATAAATTTATTTTATTACATATTTTAAAATATAATATGAATATATATTATTATATTATATAATATAAAAATATACTTAAATATAAAAAATATAATATAATATATACTTGTAATTTAAAGTCAATTTAAAAAGGAAGTTACTATTAATATATAATAGAAACTTCCATTTTTGGTAGAAAGGATTGAAAAAGTAGTGAACCACAATAACAAAAATTCTTTGTATATTATTTTCTTTTTTATTAATAGAATTTTTGGTTGACCATACAGATGTTTCGATTATTGCCAAATAAGCATCATTAGTGGTCTTGGAAATATTTCTTGTATTTAATTATTTGAAAATAGTTTTTTTTTTTTGAGACCGCAAGTTCCTGAAATTGAACTCGTACTCTGCTAAATTTTAAGCTCAGAGTCACTGTTCATTGACCAACTCATAGACCAACCCAAAACCATGCTTAACTTGTATGTTTGAACTTTTTTTGGAGTTTTGTTAATTTGTTGCAAAAGTTAATTAACAAAACTTCATTTATTGAGCTTCTTGGGTTAAGTATTTTGTAGGGATAAGTAAGCAACTTAGATGGTCAGAAGAGCTTTCGAAGTGGACATAAATACCTTCATAAAAACCCCACTGCGTAAAATGTTTAGGATTATGGATTAATCGTGAAGACTGTGAGGTCGCTGAGGCTGTATGGCACAATTTTAATAGGAGGTCAACAAAATATTTTTTCAACAAACCTGCAGTTTATGTTTTACTAAGATACTAATGTGTTATTGTGGTGACATAGCCAGAACAAATTTGGAATTAGACATAAATGTGGACAAACTCTGTTGTCTGTTGCTGTTACTAGAGCTCAAAATACTTTCTGAGCTCCATTAAATCTACAGCTCGTGTGCTCACTGGAATGCTAATAGATCATTGTGGTATTATAACAATTTATACTGACAAGTGTTCTGGGCAAAAATTTACGACGATGAAGAGATGTTTTAACACATAAATCACTTTATAGGTCTTTATATAGAATTACAGATATAGCGATTGCCCAGATTGCTTCAGAGAGATTGCGAAGTTATAATATTTGGATTTCCATAACTTTATATGGAAGACTATATAGCTTAACAACGACTAGAGAGGAAGTGATAATAAAAACAACGGTTAGTCTAGCTTACCTTCTCTAACAAATATGAGGGCATCACAATATGTGTTCGATATATCCAAATGAATATTTATATTAATATACGACCTCCAAACCCAAACGAACCTATGAATTTCTAAGAATATAATTAAGACAAAGAGACATTAAGTCTGGACGACACGGCTTTTTTACTTCTAAATTATTAACTTTCTACTCACTATTTTTGCAACCATTTGAGCATTCTGGGGGATTGCTATCCTTCAAGCGTCACACCCGCGTCATTAATGAACATTTAATATTGCTTGATAGATTTCATTATTGAGTTTGTCGATGTTTCTGAGAGCGTTTTCTCCTTTATATGGATTTATATGGAAGGTTATATGGATTTAAAAGGTGGTAAGTATTGTTTGAGTAACTTAAAAGTTAAAGAACAGTCACTTCTAGAGTTTAAACTTGGGTTTAAACATAATTCAACAATTTTAATTGAAATCTAATACTATGTTCAGACAGCCAAATTTTCTTAATTTCGTAAAAATGAAATTAAGTTAATTTCAAAAGTGTTCGCACTACTCAAATTAAGGAAATCATATGTTTTTTGTTTACAAATCGAATGTTAAAAATTATGTGCCCCAAACACCATTTGTATTAGAGAAATTTTAAAAGTTGATTATTATAACTATAAATAATGGCATTCAGTAGTTTTATTAGCTTCAGTGAATTTCTAGTATGTGAATTATTATTTTTCACTCTATTTTAAATTAATGACAATTACAGTTTTTTCTATATATTCAAATTTGAAAATTTGCACTACTTTCAAAATATTTTCTCGGTTTTATTAAAGTCAACTGTCACTGACATTTATTTAAAAATATATCACTTTTTCGTTATCTCAACTGTATCTATTGCCTAAAATTTATCTTATGCATAGTTGCATTTGAAATGTCCCTTAATTTCAGCCTTCGTTTCAACGAAATTTAGGCCGTTTTTCTTAATTTCGTTCTAACCTTAAAACTGAATTTTATATGAATAAAAATAACTTAATTTTGCTGAAACGAAGATGATAATGAGATTTTAGGTGTGTCTGAAGCAATTAATCGGTTTATTTAGTTTGACAGATCATGTCAATATATCCATTTGGATATATCTATTCTCTCTTATTTCTATAGCTGTATAGATAAAAATGAAATTGAAAAGCTTATTTATTTATTTTTTCAAGCATTTATTTGGTTAATTATATGCGTGGGCTTGCATTACAAATATTTTTCATGTATATAGTTTTTTTTGATGTTTTTATTTTATTACATTAATTAAATTAATAATTCTTATATGTAACACAAAAAATTTATTCCATTCCATTCTTTATTCATTAATTAATTTATTTTTTTTTTAATTTTTTTTAATTTTTTATAATTTTTTTGAATGTAATTATAAATCTGTGTTAATAATTATGATTAAACTGTTTTCTGTAAAATGTGCCTTAATTTATAAAAGTTTTATGTTATATTTATCAAATAATTTATATATTTCATATTTCTAATAAAAAACTTTAAAATGTTTAGGCATCAAATTCATTATTTTGTTATGTAAAAGTAGAAAAGAAAAAATCACTTTAAAAGCATTTGGTTTCATAAGGCTTTTTTCACTTTTATCCTTTTTGCATTTGCTTAAAATAAATGTTATAATTAAATACATAAAAATAAATTCATTAAGCTCATAAATTAAGAATATATATTATATATTTTTTCTTATAAATAAACATATTTTATTAAGTAATAAATACTGCGCACAAAAATCTTTCACTAAGCAAATTACTTTTTAATTATCATTTTTTTTTTAATATTAATATTAATAATTTTTTTTTTATTTTTTACATTATAATTTTTCAAACATTAAAGCCAATTAGTAAGAGTACATCAAACATATATTAAGTATAGCATTTTGAATAATAAAATAAGATTGAGTTCATCAAAGATTTCTTCATATTTCAACTCCTTCCTTTATGCATTTATGTATGTACGAGTTTGTATATTTGAAAAGTTTCGTGTATTAAAATTCATGCTAATATATATTTATTTTTATTGTGTTTTAATTTAGAAAAATTAATGTTATAATTGTAATAATTTTTCGAAATTTCGATGCATTCGTCTTCTAAAAATGCCAAAGGTTTCAGATGTTTCTTTCCCGGTTTCAAGTATCAATAGTAGAAAAGTTGTTCGCTGCCAGAATTCCAAAATTACAATCACGTCGTTTATCGTCCATCGTTAATCGTTTAATGTTTTATATCTGGAAAAATAAAATTTCAAATATCGAGAATTTAAAAAACATAAAAATTTATATATCTTAAATTAAATAATAAAATATAAATTAGCTTTCCTAAGTTCTGGCGAAAATCTTCTAAACACTTTATTTGCACACTTACTAACTTAACACTTACTATTATATTCCATAAACGAGTATAAAAATTTTTTATTTTCATCAAAATAATTACCAATAATTATCATTTGTTGAGCTCTAGTGCATTAAATTAATTTCTGTAAAGAATTGAGAAAACAAAAACGACAGAACTTGGGAAACGAAAATAATATCAGTCAAGCATACATAAATTAAAATCGTGAAAGCTTCACACACTTTTCCTGGCTTACCTAAACATTTTCTCTTATTAAAGTACTTTCAGCAATTGCTTTCTATATCTAAAATAATTTTTAGTGCTGTGTTTGCTGCTTTTTGTCTTCATCATCCATTTGTTTCCGTTCATTGTCTTCATACATCCAATGACTACCGGACATTGTTGACGTAGACATAGCTGCCGGGTATGAGTCTTCCATTAAGGTGCTTGAAGCGCAGCTCGTTACACTACCTGACATTTGTGAATTGCCTGCACTAGTTTGGTAAGTTGCCGTAGTGCCCGCTGAGCTCGTTGTCTGTTCAATGCATAATGAATCAATTGAAGCATCTTTTGGCATTTGTTCTATTGAACCATCCATTGACCCTCCATCACCGGTCAGAGTTGTTATTGTTGTTATGTGTGTAACAGTATGCTCGACGCCATCAGCATCAGTGCTTGTCGTTGTTGTTTTCGTAGTTGTGGTTAAACCATCACTACTCACAATTTTTGACATTACATCCATTTGTTCATTCTCAATGGACTCAATGCTTTCTTCTCGTGTTGGAGGTTTTTTATCAGTTTCTAATGAATCGACGTCGGAACGTGTTGTAGCATCTTTTGAAATGTCAAAACTATCTAAGCTGCTAGTCATCACATCAAGGCTTTTATTAATTTCTAAACTATCTACACTACCTTTTTCAGAATCAAGTGGATCAATTTTTGTAGACTTTAAATCCAGTGGTTCGGTAGAAATTTCTGTAATAACCACATTATCCTTTCGCTCACATTTATTTAGTTTCTCTTTTAATAATGCCTCAATATTTTGTTGTCCAGGTGCTGCTTCCGTGTGGGTAACGGTTCGTGTGACTTTGGTGACTACAACATTAGAAACGCCATTGCCACGATCGCTTCCATTCGATTTATTCGATTCATCGGAACGTGATAGTAATGCCGCCTCTTCCTTAGCTTTTATTTCTATTAAATGCGCTTCGATACATGCATTTTCCAAGCCTTCAAATTCTTTTAAACTAGATATGGAAATATCATCTCCTTGTGCATTGCCACTGCCGCTATGACGAACAATATAACGCCTCGTAAAACTACCATTACTTGAATCTGTGGAACCTTGATGAGTTTTATTACGATTTTCCAACGATATTGCTTGCTCCAATGACTCAAATTCTTGCAAACTGCTCATAGATATGTCATCATGTTCTCCACGTGAGAAGTATCGACGAGCCGCTAAGACATCATATTCAGGTGTGCTAGAAAATGAATCTTTAAAACTACTAATGCGACTGCTGCCAACTTCGAATTCTCCATCTTCTTCTTTGATATCTTCAAGCACACCACCGGTTATATCATATGGATATCGTAATTGCGCATCAGTCAACTGCATTTCTACCCAACGTTTGTTAGCCGCCGCGCTTTCACCGGAATCACTCTCATCTTGTTGATCACTGCTACTTCCAGCTGTCGGAGGACTTTCTTCAAACTCAAAATTCAAATCATCTCGATAAATTTGTGAACCAAGCTTGGGGTCAGCAGGTGCAGACTTTATTATTATTTTTTCTACATCTTCATCATGTTTCGATTCATATTTGGTTGATTTTATTTTTATACTTTTACCACCCAAATCAACTTCATTTGCTTCTTTAGCTACTTCTTCAATAATCACAAATTCATCTGATATATCAGGTTGGTCTACCATTTCGAAAGAATCCGGCGAGTCGGGTGCTTTATTTTCATCGTAGTCTGAATCTTGTGCTCGCTGCAGTTCTGCCAATTTTTGTTTATATTGCTCTTGCACTAATTTCTGAAAGTTTTCCTCTTCTAATTCAGTGCGAGATTTTTGATATAGTGGCACATCCGCTGCTTTATTTAACTCTTCTTGTGTTTTCATTTTGTATAGCGTTTTTTCTTCAAACTTATCTGTTTCTTCCTCCAGTATCGGTGATTTTTGCGTATGTTCTGTCACTGTTATATCTGGTATATTAGAATAATCTTGCATATTTTGTGATGGTCTCCTTTCTTCGATCATAGCTTGCTCTGCTTCTAACTCCTCCGTTGCAGCATCTTCCACAATAACCTCAGCGACCAGTTGAGATGGTGTGAATGGTCTCTTTTCTGCTTCAAAACTGTGATCCATTTCAGCAGCGGCCTGTTTTTTCTTTTTTGCTTTTCTATCATTTGGTGAACGGAATTGTCGGGCGTATTCTGATTCATACGGATCAGTATCAGATTCGCTTTCCGATTCTTTATTTTCGCCCACTATTTGTAGTTCATTATCAGTCAAATTTTTTAATGTTTCTCCAGTAATTGATGTGCTCTCACTGCGTTTATGACCACGCTTTCGAGCCTCACCAGGTGGTGTTGTAGCAGTTGAATCTTGAGGTGATTGATCTTTGCTCTCCATTTCCATAATAAATGGTTCATCTGGATATGAAGAAACAGGATCATCATGTGAAAATTGAAAACCATCTACTCCAGTCAAAGAAGAAGAACCAACAGAACCAACCATATCCTCAAAGTTTTCAACAACTGTTTCGATATTAGATGTACTGGACATACTAACAGAAAGTATACTTCCGTCGTCCAAACTAGATGCAAGCTTAGCCTCATCAATGGAGTGTCTTGAATCGCTATGATATAATAATATATCTTCAGTTCTTTCCATATCTTTAAGATCATCGGATTTTACTTCTTCCATAGGATAAGCAAGTCCCCATGTTTTCTCAACTTCTTTTGGTTTTGGAAATTCTTCAACTTTCACCGTTTCCACCTGAACTTCCTGCTTAGTAATTTCTTCAGCTTTTGGTTTGAATATCATTTCTTGAGAACGTTTCATTAAACTTTGCTTTGCACCGATGGGGTATCCAGCAGCATCCATATCTAAACTTTCTGTACTGTCTTCATCATCAGCCTGTAAGTCACGCAAACGTGCGATTTCTTCTGCTTCCAATGCATCTGCTTCAGTGGAAGAAGCAACTAGAGTTTCGGATAATTCTGAAACGTCAATGCTACCTAAATATGCAGAGGTTTCCGATTGTGAATCCAAACTTCTCATACTTTCGTGAGAACTTATAGTTTTACCGCTGCTACTAAATGAACTCACTGCACTCACATATTCTGTTGTTTCTCTAAACGTTGAGGAGGCATCGGCAGCTGTTTGATAATCCGAAGAGTTTGGTTGAGTTAATAAATTTTCTATATCTGATGATAAAGGACGACTTTCTGATTTTTCAAAACTTTTGTAATAACTTTCACTTGAACTTGATTGATCAATCTCTGGCACTGACCAACGATTTGTGGTATCTGTTGATGATTCAGTTTTAACACGATGTATTACTACGTCAAATGGTTTCATTGTTTGATCTGAAGTTATTTCTTCAAATGTACTACTGCTTGAACTTTTCTGTGTAGTAGCTTCTTCAGTTAAAATATTAGCCTTTACCATTTTTTCTTGATAATAATCTTCCATAGAACTGAAATCTTCAGCTGTTTCTGTTGAAATAAAGCCTAGAGATGCATGTTCTTCTTTAGCAGCATGTTCTTCAGATGAACTATAATCTTCGCCAGTTCCAGTTGATACAAAACCCAGAGAACCATGATCATCAAGGGTCTCAGGTTTCAAATTATTGAACACATCTTTACCGTAGTGTGCCATAACTGCCTCACGATTCAGAGTTTCTCTTACAGTACCCTCAAATAGTCCCTCAGTTTGTTGTAGAGTGTCAAATGGTTTTTCGATGCCTTCTTGTACTTTGTCTGGTATACCAATAAATGAAGATATATCTTCTTCTTCCTGCATTGAAGCATAAGAAAGTTTCGCTGTATCGATTGATGCACTTGTGCTTGGTTCTTTTTCCTTGGACGCTAATACAGTTTTAATTTCGGTTGCCATCTCTATGTCTTTTGATATATCTTTTAAGGAATCACTTGCAGAATCTAATGATAACTGCGCTTCTGCAGAAGATATTTCAACTGTAGATTTATACATAGGTTCTTCAGCAGAAACTTGTAAATCTTGTGGGGAATGTATTACTTTGCATTTGCTTTGAAATAATGGAATTTCCTTTTCAAGCGTTTCAAGTTCACTCTTTTCTACTGAGGTATAACCTTTGTCCGTAAGAACCGTATCAAGTGATTCAGTAATGATTGTAGATACTGTGTATTCCTGTGAGTCTGTGCGTGATATTTCAGAAATTTCTTTTATTGAATCATCAGTTGAGACTGTGCTTGTTAGCTTAGTGCTCTCTACTGATTTTTCTAAAGCATCTTTAGATTGTTTACTCTCAGCCGATTCTTGTTCTAGTAAATCATTTCTGGTATCTGAACTTTGACGAATCAATTTACTTCCATACTCTTCTTGATCTCGTTTCATAGTGACATATTCTTTAAATACATCATTATTTTCATCAGAATCTACTGAAACTTCCTTCATTAAGGAGATATCTTTGGCTTCAATTGTGGCTTGCATAGCGTCATTTGCATCAGTTATAAATTCACTGGTTGATTTGGTAGGTGTGGTTTTTACAATCACATTTCGGCTAGACTCTCCTATATAGAAGCTAGTTGTTTTTCCATCTGCTTGGTCAGATTTTTCGGTATCAACATCATCTACTGACTCGCTGGTAGGTTCAAACGATTCTGTTTCAGTTGTGTGCATGTCACGTTGTGAACGTATAGATATATCTGTAGACGGTTCATCTGTTTTAGATATATCTTCTGTAAACTCCAAACTACGTAAACTAATACTGTCTGACTGTTCAGCTAAGGATGCCAAATTTTTGTATGAATCCGTCTGTTTTAACTGTGAACGTGGTTTCGGAACTGGCACTGGTGCAGATACTGAGCTTTCACTTGTTACATCGACAGTTGAAGTCAGTAATGGTTCTGTAGTGATTTGTTCCTGTGTTGAAGTTAACAAGTTGTCATCAAATTCACTAATGGGAGAAGTGGCTACAACAGATCGTGGTTTTGGTTTAGGTAAATCATTTTTGGGCACAACCGCCGAGAATGGCACAGGAGTGGTATCAGTTGAATGGTCAATTTCACCGCTCGCTTCTATAAAAATAATAATTGTAAAAATAAAAAGTACATATATTTTAAAGTGTAAAATAAACGAAAACAATAGATAAGAACTACTTATAAAGGATAGCAATAGTTAGTAAACAGAAGAGAGAATAAAATACGAAAATCAAAATTTAAAAAAAAAATATTAGTTAATAAATAGACGATAGATAGTTTATATGTTTGTATAAGAAATCATGCATTATACGAGTATTATTAATTAAATTAATGTGGAGAGTGTATGTGTCAGAAAGTATTATGTCCTGTGATTCTGTTAAATGTTATAGTTTTTATATTATATAATATGCAATTAGAGCTCAACTTCATCAAAAATATTTAACATAAGTATAATTTCTTATTATAATTTCTTCATTCAGTATTTAAGAAATATTTTCATATATATAACATACATATATACAGACATAAATATTTAAACGTATTTGGTAACATTAAATCATATCAGTCTGTACCTGTTGTTATTTCTTGAATATCATTATCAGGCGTATTTTGGCCAACATCACCTAGAGTATTTGTGTTCGGTGACATACTGTCATCCCAACTCATTTTTGAAAAATCGCCTTGTAAATTACTTATCTCATCCTCCTGCACTGCTGCATCAAAACTTTCATCGAATTGCGCAGCTTGCTCATCTAAATCATCGATATTTGAGTATATTTTTTCAAACTTTCTTTCAATACGACGCGTTTTAACAACATTGGGATCCTCAGTTGTTGTTAAAGAGTCACCATTTTCCGAAGATGTGAACATGACTAGGTAAAATTTAAATCACATAAAACAGTTAAAGTATAGATGAATGCATAGAACAAAGAAAAATTTAACCAGACACATTAATCACTCATTACAACTAACTCAATCCATACCTTTCATATTATTTAGTTAAATTGTATATTACAGTGTATGTCAATCAAGTATCACAAATCAGTATGTATAAGTATGTATTTTTGTATCATAAAATTAGATACTAATATATAAATTTTGATAACTTAAAAAAAATTGGGTAAAAACTTGCTATATGTACATTATACGTATAGGACTAACATTTCAAGAAATAGATACTAAGAGGCTCACTATTTATTTATATTTTGAGGCTTAGACAGCACTGATTGTTGCCACGGTGAAACGCTGGTACAATGATTTTAATAGTGCCCGGAGTTCGCTCACTGACGAAATTCGTATTTGTGAAGGTCGTCCAAAATCAGTTGTTTCAGTTATTGTGTCAGAAAACATTAATACTGTGCAAAAACTGATAATGTAAGATCGACATGCGACATATTGTGAGATTGAGGGAATTCTAGGTATAAGTTTCGCCAGCATATATAAAATATTACCCAACCCCCATCATATGACAAAATCTCAAAAAGATGCTCTCATGTCGATTGGTGCACACAAATGCTCAAGAAGTACAATGGTGGTGCTTTAAAAGACGTATATAAGATTGTGACGAATCATGGATATATGCGTACTCGTATGAGTCGGAACGTAAACAGCAGTCAAGCAGTCGACTGGGTGTTTCAAGAGTGAGTTTGTTTTTCGGAAAAACTGATTAAGTGGCAACTATACCAATACCGGGATATCAAACGGTCAATTCCGAATGGTAAACAACTATTTGTTTACCGAAAGTCTTCAGTGAAATATGGCACCGTCGGATCATTCTCCACCAAAACAATACGAGTACTCACGTATTGCGTCTAACAACCGACTATAACTGTTTGAACATACAAAAAATCGAATTGAACGCCGCACAGTCATGATTTGGCACCCAATGACTTCTTCTTATGCCCAAACATCAAGAATAAATTGCGTGGATAACGATCGGAAGATTTATGTCGGCGGAAGAAGCCGTTCTTGCATTTAAAAACCATATTTTGGAGATGTCTTGTAAAAAATTAGAAAAAATGCTTTGACAAATGGTTCGAACGCATGCAAAATTATGTTAATCATAAAGCAGAATACTTCAAGAAACAATAAAGCAATTTTCAACAACAAATTAGTATTTTTTCAATATTAGGCTCAAAATATATATAGTGACCCTCGTAGTTAAGAGAAAAGATAATATAATAATATCGAAGTTACACAAAGGTACTATTTGGATTTATATAATATTTATATTCATAACTATAGTTGCTTCATGGGATGGAACCACTAGTGAGAGAAGAAAATAGAACACTATTAAGATTACCCACAGGATCTATATATTTATAAGCATACATCTATCATAGAGCTATCAATTTAAGAGACAATTAAATAAAAAGAAAATGCAACAATATCGAAATTCACCAAATTTGTTTGGGATTAATAATCATAATCTTAGCTACATCATCGGGTTAGCACTTTAAAACAAAACAAAATAAACAACAACAAAGAACACACAAAGAAGCTATATTACTAGGTAGATCAATAACAACTTGATAAAAAGGAATACCATCTCTTTGCAAGCATATCAAGTCATGACCATGAAGAGCACTCATGAAACCTCTCAAAATGGCTGTATCGTTCGAATATCCGAATAGTTTTAAATACCTACTATTCGGATACTTTGGATATCAGGATACAAATATTTCGGATAACCGAACAGAATAAAACACGCAAAAACTTTAAATCCTATCTATTTGTGTTATGTGAATTACTGATTAATTTTAAAGTTCCATAAATAAAAGTACTAAAATATAGTTTAAATAGTCTTTATTATACTTAAATGATTTTTAAAAGCATAGGAATATCAGCATTATGTGAACTAATTATAGCAACTTCGGATATATTCGTATTTTACACATAATGCTTATATCAAATAATTAAATGCACGATACTTAAAAGTATTTAATACATATATTTAATATATAAATACATATACGTTTATATATGCTTCTTGCACTGATATTCCTATTAGATCGTCGATGGCAGTCACATACAAAGGTGAGAGGTTTGAGAGGTTGAACCCTACACCGCATGGCACTGATAAGCCTTATTAAAGATGTTCGAATTCGCATTAACCTATTCTGCGAAAAACCTCTAATCTGTAGAATAAACTGCAGTGAGATTAAATATTTTAGTTCAGAAGATTGTTTCATTAAATGAAGTTTAAAAATTGTTGAAGTTCGTCGATACTGACTTTTCCGTATTCTACAAATTACAATATATAATACTGACAAGTTATTTATGTCATGTAAACGAATAAAAACCTACAAAGAAATATATTTGACCAAGTAAGCTCGCTATAATTTTAATTCAATAGGAGATTGCAGTCGAACCAGATGGAATGATCCAGCTTTAAGTAAAAACAAAAAAAAGCTATAACGTTGGCCATTTAAGGTGTATGCATCTGATAACGCTGTAACTTTACCAAGGAAGATAAAAATAGCTAATGACCAATTATCAGTTCTGCGCAGTAAAAAATTATTAATTTATTCAAAAGTCACCGTCTTACTGTCAAAAAGTGACAATGTATTGCAGAATTTGTGGTGATAATCATTAGACCCTACTTTTTCGAAGCCATCCGTGACAAAGCAACAACAACAATTCAGGTACGCTAACGGACTACGATAACCAATATTTTCATGGCATTTATTCACGAAAAAGGTATGTAGCACTCTTGGTTTCAATAAAGTGGCACACCGCTGCAAATAGAACAATTGATTTTTTGAATCCGTTGTTCCCCGGTCACTTCATATCAAAAACATATGATTATGGTTAACCTGCGTATTTGCCCGATTTGTCACCGCTAGACATTATCTTGTGAGGGTACTTGAAATTAACAAGTAGTCTCAAGTAGTTTATATCAACAAACTAAGGTCACTAGAAAAACTTGAAGTCAATGGTCTTCAGAAAATATCCGCCAAAGCAGCCGAAACATTGCCAAATATGAACAAATATGTCAAAAGAATAAGCACATTATATAGGTATAATCTTCAGAAAGCGATGCAATCAAATCTTCTTCAGTGAATTTAACTGATTTTTAACATGAACAGCAAAAAATGTGTTTTTATGTTAAATAAGTGGGTCCACCTAATATGGCTAACCCTATATAATATTACTTAGAAAAAAAATTTTTTTTTTTAACCAGTAAATCCTTGTCTATGAGCCTGGTCGATAGTATATATACTTAGTTGTATTGAAGAGTATTTTAAGATCTATATAAAATAAAAAATAAAGAATTTTTTATAGTAAAAAGCGAATTATTTTAATAACTGTATAAGACCTTGTCTGATACCAAATCAGGTATTCCCTTATCATTTGAACGAAGGAAAGTTTAAACTACTAAATAATATTCATTTGGGAAAAAAGAAAGAAGTATTTACTTGTATCAAATACTCACGAACTACTGTGTTTTCTTAATATAAAGATAATGAAATGTATATAAACGATAGTAATTATAATAAGATATATAAATTTAATAACTGAAAAAAAAACTAATGTATATAGGTATTCCTTTTTTAAAATTACTAACCCTAAGTCACTAAAAAATACACTTATAATATATATAAACTGAGTCATTTAAAAAATTTGATTAAAGTAAAGAGTTTAGGAGGCTTATAGGAGGCTATAAGAGTGAAATGAATGTGAACTGATTTGGGTAATGTCTTTGGGTAATACAAGTATGGTAGATTTACATATTTTTTTAATTTACAACGCCTTCATATAGTATCATTCATTTTAAAAAATTCTTAATTCTTAACAATTTTAAACACAAAATTACCTTGTGTTTTCGTAATAGTTGTATTTTGATCAACATTTGTTGTTGTAGTAGTTGTAAGAGTAGTTGTATTTGTTGTAATTAAATCTGTATCTAGTAAATCATCGAAAAAGTTATCTTGTCTCAATGGCATCACAATTGAAGAAGTAATACTCGATTTCTGACTACTGGTAGGAAAATTAAGTTGCACATGTTCATCCGTGAAACTCATATTATCATCGAATGATTTGCCTGATATTGATTCAATAGTTGGTGATTTGATGACATCTAAGCCACCAACATCATCACATGTAATCGCATAGTTTTCAATTTCCGAATTATATTCATGTTTAATTGAATCTGAACCATTTTGTGGTTCCGTTTGTTGATCATTTACTATATTAACACTGTCTTCCAATACTTTATCAATAAAAATTGTGGCTTCCTTACGTATTAATGAATCTGTACCAGTATCATCATCATCTAAACGTAAGCTAATAATATCACTCTGTTTACTATCATCATCATCATCGTCATCATCATCATCATATTGGGCATCATTGTCAATATCTGATTTATCATCATCATAATCATCATATATATCACCGCCTGTAAAATAATCGCACATTCATATTTAATTATATTTAAATTATCTCACTTTTCAAGGCAAGATAATTATTATCTTAAAAATGCGATTAGTTTTTAAAACACGAACACGAATTTAATATTTCAATATTAAATTTTAATTTAAAATAAACGAAAGCGTGCAATTTTTATTTCAAATGAATTTTCTTTGAATTATGATTTGTGGATTGTGTGATATTCATATATGAATGATATTTCAGCTGTGATATATATAGATATGATGTGATGTTATTATGCTGTGAATAATGTTTGGGTCACATTTTTTGTGAGTTTCAAATCAAAGAAATTGTGTGTAAATAATTTAAAAAATATATAATTATATACAATTAAAAATAATTTATTTTTCAAAAAATGTTTATAATACATTAATTTTTTAATATTGCTTCAATATCTTTATTGCAATTTAGTTAACATATACCTAAATATAAGTTAAAAAAATATATAAAATTGTGAGCTTAATATTTTTCAGACAAACAAATGAATATCATAATATTTAATAATATATATGTATAATATTTTACATATTATCAAGTTTCATATAATAAAGAAGTTCCAAAGAATAATATTAGGACTACAGTTTCAAAGTGCCCTATCGAGCAAAAATGTTAGAAAACTTTCAATTTGAACATTTGAATCGAACACTTTTTTACTCGAAAATGTTAAGGCTTCTTTTCAAACAACTTATCTGCACAATGTTTTATTTTATTTTCGTAAAACAACAAACACTCAAGCACATCGAACATTGTCAAACAGCTAATTATGTTCAATCCAACCACAGAAACATACTTAAGCATCAAAAAGATACAGACTTTCATCAAAAAGAATAATACTTAAAGCTTTAAGATATAATATATAATTAAATATATAATGAATTATATAATTAATTTAATATAAAATTAAATTTTATAATTAAAGCGGCAATAGAAATAATATCGACAGAGGAGTATAATTCAGTCTTTAAATTTATGCAGCAATACAAAGAAGATTGGAAGGGGCTAGTCTGTTTTCTGGGTTCAGTAAATCAAGAATTTGCTTTCTTTTAAGTAAGTTTTTGAAAGACGTGATTTGTATCGTTAATGCATTTATCACATTCTGACTTTCAGGAATATGTTTTCAAACATCACTGCATGTAAATTAATAAAACCCATACTTTCGGTTCAATCACGGAGCCAACCACGTAAAAATCAAAATTTTTAATAGCTGCAAACATAAAGGACCCGGCATAAAAAAATTCTGGCGCAACTCATCTGTTATTATTCGGCTATTTGAAAGGCTTAACTTCGTAATATCAAGATAAACTATTTCTATATATAACTATATATAATTCGTATTAGTTGTATGACTTTGAAGGCTTTTATTATATCTTCACTATATCTTATAGACAAAACAAAACAGCACTATAAACACTGAAAAAATCTCCTTACATTTGTTTATGCGTATATATCTCGGTTAACATTTCGTTGATACACTAACGGGCACGTAGTCAGGTTTTAATATCAGGTTTTAATAGCCGAAGCTCCCCGAAATAAATCGAAATGAATTTCTACCCATACTCACTATTAGGGCATTATGACTGTTTAATACAATTTTTAAATTACTGAAATTATCTGAAAGACACCCTCCACAAAGTAAATTTGTTGCTATACGCCTGTGCACTGCATTTCGATTAATATTACACATATGGTTAATGTCTCCTATCCATTTTTCTCATACTTTGTGATAAGGAATCGTCCCCTAAGTCAATGACATTTAGTTAGAGATCAATAACATTAGGTGGCTACGCTAGTTTGGTCATGACGTGAGAACGAATAACTATGTAATGCTCCACTGAGATCAGTATTTGAAGTAAGAGACTACTAGGAGCACTAACCGTGGTTTATCTACGAGATTTAGGAGAGACTAGAAAAGCTTAAAAACAACATCATCATTCAAACCCCAATGCCGGATTTGTTATGCCCTAAGAAAGCTTTTAGCCTTTTTCTCTTATATAGAGAAAGTCTAAAGAGAGGCTTTCTCTTATATATATTTTAGTGTATTAAAATTGACTAAAATCCGTTAATAAATCGCCGCGCTCTGATAATCGAAATCAAGTCAAAATAACACTCTAGCTTACTAATTATATATGTATATATGCTATATATATATATATAATTATATATGGTATATATATATATATTATATATATATGTCATAAATATATTAATATTCTTATATCTACAAAAAAACATATATATGTATACAATTATTGTCTCATATTTATAATAAAAAATTAATTAATTCAATTAATTTAAAATACACTCAAAAAAATTTATAATTTTTGTATTGTTTTTATCAACTTTAGAATGAAATATCAACAAAATTAATTATAAAATTAACACTTAGAATTTTTTTATATTGTTTTTATCAACTTTAGAATAAAATATTAACAAAATTAATTATAAAATTAACACTTAGATTTTTTTTATTACTAAAATTAAATGAAGTATTGTTATAACGCTTAGGAACTAATAAAATACGCATATGATTATAAAGATTAATAATTTAAAATTTTTATATAAGTACTAAACATTAAACATTAAATTATTACACCATACATTTTCAGAATACAACATTTAATAAAACATTTAAATTTAAAAATCCTTTTTTTTTCTGAGTCCACTCACACGACATAAGTTAATCCCTATCCCCGAAGCTCAATCATTGCCAATCAGCAATTACCGAGAAACATCCATATAAGGAAGCTTATACTTTCTTAAGAACGAAATGGTAGTGAAGAACAGGGAACACCAGTACTTAAGTTGAATAAAAATAATTTTTTAAAACCGACTTTTATAAATCGATTTGAATACAACAACCATATGGACAACAGTAACAAATTAATCCGGTTTAGCAATTAATGAACATTAAATCGTGTCGTGTGAATAGGCTATAAATATGAATTCAAATTCAATTTTTAATATTATTAAAAATATTAAAAAATTCATTAAAATACAGATTTTTCTGGAACTAATTTTTGTAAGTGTGCTCTAATTGCTTATTTATTGAATGTTAATTATAAATGGTAATTAAAAATAAATTAATTAAATTGTTAATAAAGCATGTACATTAAACAAGAAAACGTTTAAGATGTTTATGTAGTGAGTAAAAGAAATAGAAGCTGTAAGCGTTTTAGAAAAACAAAATCCAAAAAGAATATTAATGCTCCTTCCTTACCTTTTGTTGGTGAAATCGTTATTTTCAGATCTTCTGGAAGATGCTTTAAGTCATGTGTTACTTTTTGTATTTCTGCAAAGAATGCATCGCAAAATTAGTACAAAATTATTATTGTGTTTTTATTTAAATAAACAAAATAATAAGTAGGCAGTTAAATAAAGTTATCAAGTAAAATTGTAAATAAAATTGAGAGTATTGTAAAGAACTGAAAAATTTTATCCAAAGGACCTTTTGTTAGTAGCGTACACATATCTCAAACTTTCTTAATTACTAAATTGTTAGTTGTCAAAAACACCTACGATATATATTTAAAAATAATTATTTTACAAATGTTAGTAATGACAAACACGCTAGCAATAATAAGTAATTATGTTTTAAAAATTATAGCATTTACTTACGAATATATAAATGTACTTAAGGAAGTTTTTCATATTAAGTTTTTGTAAATATGCGCCGATATTAATCATTTTTTAATTTTTTAATTTTTTAATTTTTTAATTTGCAATTATGAATGTGTATAAATTTATATGATATTTTTGTATATATATTATAATAATTAAGTGTTAATTGACTTATTTATGAAGCATTTATTAGTTTCCTTCTCGTGCAGTTGGTTCATCAGATTCTACATACTCAATATCTGTATGCGCTTCGCTTAACTCATTAATGTTCTTAACATGCAATTTTTCTCGATCCATATTGAAAGTACTTCCAGTTTTCTCATGCACTACTGTATAGCTTTCGTTTAGCATATCATTGAACTCACTACAGGCACCGTTACTTTCCTTTTCTGCACTCACCCATTCTTCATCGGACGCCAGCTGTATATCCTCAGTGTCGGTTAGCTGACTTATATGATCATCCTTCTGCATATTTATTTTTAAAGTATTTATATTGGTCTTGTCGTGTTTGGCACAAATTTTGGCTCCATCACTTTCTTGTGTTAATACAATATTAGTGGAGTTCTCCTCATAACGTTTTAGTGCTGGGGTATTGGCATTAATTGATGGTGCTTCATTATCTGAAACATCGGAGGCTTCATCAGCTGTTATATCTTCAATATCAGTTACTTTATCCGCATACTGTTTAGATTGTTTATTTACTGCACTTCGTTTCACATTTGGTGGTAAACCATTTTCACTTAATTCCATATCTTCGACATCAGTTGCCCCATCCACGACATTGGCTACATCTAAAAATTTTGTTTTGGCTTTACTTGTACTGCGTGTCTTTAGTTTTTTTCGTCTATTTGTGCCAGCAACGTAAATCTCTTCAACATCCGTAACAGATTCTGTATTAGAATGCATTTCAGTACGTTTACTAACAGTTGGTTTAAGTACTTCGTTAAACACTGTGTGTTCACCCTCTGCATTCGCGGTTAAAATTTCAACAGCTATGGATTGTTTCCTGCCGTAGTCTTCTACACACGATATATCTTCTGAATCAGTTAGATCATCATTTTTGAAATTGTTATATATACCAAATTGAAAATCTTTATCCATAGGCATAACACTCATTGTAGTATCGCCAAACTTATCTTCTTTAAGCGTAACCACTTCACGTTGCGACGGTGGTAAAACATTCGCCGCCACAACTAACGGTTCAGAGGCAGTACTAGATGTAGGTAAAGAATCTTCACAAAGTATATCTTCTACATCAGTATGACAGGCACCATCATCGCCAGGTGCAAGAATTATGGCACGCGGAATTGGTTTCTCATTATCTTCTTCGTTATCGAAACTTTCATTTTCAGCGGCAGAATCCTCTAATCTTTCTATATCTGTGAGTACATCATCGTTTATTGGGCAAACCGTTAAAAATGGTTTATTACTTTTTCTAATTGCAGAAGTGCCAGCACTATTTCGTTTAAAATTAGCTCTCACAAACTTTACATCGACTGGAGGTAAACAGGCATTACTGGCACCTTCACAGTTTTTATCTTCATCAGTATCCGAAGCAGAGTAAACAATTTGGCATTCCTCTTCATCACCAGATGTAAGCACAAGTTCATCTTCTTTACCAAATCGATCATCAACTCCACCCGTAGCCCCAGTCGCATCAGATAACGCAAATGCCAAATTACTTACATCACTAAAAGCAGAAATATCATCATCATCATCATCGTCGTCATCATCATCATCATTATCTGCATTCTCTACTTTTGCATCATCAGTAATGCATACTTTGCCCTGGTTATCTGCAACACTATCTAAATTTACACAAACTGATTTTTCGTAATTAGCATCAATTTCAGAGTCTGTATTATAATCTTCACAATCCGTTAAATAGTCAGGTACGTTATTTAGATTTTGTGCTTGCAAAAAATCGCCAGCCTTAAAATCTACTCTTTCTTTAGTTTCATTATCAACAAATTCTTGTTCCTGCAAACCTTGTTGCAAAAACTCCCGTAAAGATATTTTCAATTCTGGATAAATATTGCTTTTCTCTTCATCTTCTGAACCTGAATCATTGTAGTCCTCTATATCAGTTGCATCATTATCTACTTTCACATCTTCTTTTGTTAAATTATTGGGTGATTTTCTTAAACGAACATCTGCTTGGCTATCGAAATCCTCTACATCAGTTACTCCTCCTTCGTTTTGATTATAGTCCATGTCGTTGCTATTATCGGAGTCATCATCCGACAAATCAGTTTCATTGGGTTTATCGGCAGTTACGGAAATAGTTGGGAGATTTGCGGACATATTGGACATGTGTTAAAATTTAAACTGCTTTTATTGAATTGAATGTGTGTCTGTATTAGCTAAGTTAAAAAATTTTTAAAATAAAATATTTTTAATTATTTCCAATTTTTTACCAATAATATTAATTATGCTCAGAAGCGTATGAATGGTTTCATATATTTCAATATAACGTAATTGTATTTATTATGTTTTTAATTAATAAAAAGTGAACTAACCACTACTCTGTATTTATTATGGTTGTTAATATTTGAGAATATTTGTATTTTTGTAAGAAATTTACTATTTAATTTCTTCAAATACAATTTTTATCAAAAACTTTTTGATGTAGAAATTAATCTCAGTTTTCTTAGTTGGTAAAGTAAACAATAAAACGCAAGTTATCTCAAATATCAAACTCAAATTCACTTCACGAAAGCTCAACATTTACGATTATATCTACACAGTCTATAATATAATATATCTTGTACTATGTATTTATATTTTTAATATAAAACGTATCGTCCATCCCATCCTCTTCCTATTTCAGTAGTAAATATTTATTTACTGCATATTTATAGAATAAGTGAAATAATTGTGTTTTTATTGCATATTTTTAGAGTGATAAATTTATTTATGTGTAAAATATATGAGTATTTAAATTGCATATTTATAGGGTTAACAAAAATATATGTGAAAAATTGGGCCAATACTTCCTAATCTTACAAACTAATATGTCAGAAAAGAAATATTAATTTACTAGCATATTTATTTGTCCATTATATGCTTTTATATAGAAGAGGTCTATAACTTCCAAGGGGAATATCGAAAACCTCTTTTTTGATGTATTTTATTTAAGTTTAAAATTCAAACAAATGATTAGGTTAGGTTAGGTTTTACTGGCGATCCCTAAGGGATATACTTAGGCCTATTAGCCCATTAACTCGGGGTTTAAAACCACCTAAAACCTTGGGCAATGTCAGGTCTTGTAATTTATCAGGATCCTCAAGAAAAGGAGCTCCTAAAGTGTTTAATCGCCGCCGTGCATAAGCTGAGCAAAAACATAGTAGATGAAAGGCACTCTCCTCGTCTTCCCCACAGCTGCTACAGGTTTGATTAAAAAGGAGATTAAATCTTCTAGCACGGTACTCTAGTTTACAGTGACCTGTAAGTAAACCTATCAAAATACTTATATCTCTACGGGGCATCTCAATGAGAATTTTGGATTTACTTTTAACGGAACGTGGCCAGATTGCATACTGATGCCTGCATATCGTTGAATCTTTCCATCTTTTATTAAAAATTTTAACATAGAAAAAACACGGTAACAGTCTGCACGATGTTAACGATATGCACAGATTATTTAAGTGTTTCCAGTGAGATCCTGAAGTACCGTCCTTGGCTAGCTTGTCTGCTCTGCAATTGCCGAAAATATGCCTATGACCGTGAACCCAGATAAGAGAAAAATTGAGCTGCGTCGACATTTCGTTTAGACATATGTAGGGGTTAAAAACCATTCTAGATGGAAATTAGACTGACCTCAACAAGGACTTTAAAGCAGCTTGACTGTCTGATAATATGTATATATTCCCGCCAAATATATCATTCACATTCAAACAAGCCTTAGCTTCCCTAATGGCGATCACTTCAACAATTCAATCAATTCAACAAGTAGTAAAGTACAAACACTTTTTCTTGATATATACGTCTATATGTATCTATATATGTCTTAATGTAAACTACAACCATTCGTACGATTCTTTTGCACTTCATTAGAAATTAAAAGAACAATTTAGTGTGTATCGGTTTTACTATAATATAAAATTTATCTTCATTTCAGGTTTATTTAGCTGAATTAATAATTAACTCTTTTATTTAATAATTATTATTTTTTTGAATTTGAAAAACAAATATATTTATATTTTTTGTTTATATATTATATGCTTAATTCTAGGTTAATTAAAAACTGAACCTAAAAATTTATTATTAATTGTGTTTTTATTTACTACCATTTTTATCAATATATTTAAATTAAATTTATAGACCTTCCTGTTAGAAGTTCAATAAAATAAAATATGTTCATAATATATATTAAAAAATATTTTTCTTATTACATACATATATATACTTAATAAATAATATTTTGTAAGTGTAAAAAATTTACCTTTATTCACTTCGGTTTTGCTCTTTTGAATTTTTACTTCCGTATGCTGTAGAGCAGTCTCCGCTTCTATAACATAGCTACCAGCCTCGAGCTGTAATGTTGAAGAGGGGTCTAAAGCCAACCCAGTAGTTTGTTGTCTACGTATAGTTTCTTCAATAAGTGCGAATGGACTACGTGTAGGTTTTGGTGAACCTGGACTTGCAGCTAATAAACGATCTTGATCGGTATTAAACATCGGTAATGCTACAGAGTCTGATAGACTCGAATCAGTGGTGTCAATAAAACTGACATCAAATTCACTTATACAACGCTGTTCACTTGATGGTGGACGAATCACAGTCATATTCGTATCTGTATCTGGTTGACGGTAGATAACTTCAAATGGTTTATCTGGTCCAAATGTTTTCGTAAAGACTTCACTTGTTATAACTTTTCTACTGCCACCAGATGAGGAGGTAGAGCTTTTTGTGCTATCGTTCGACTTGACTGATCTATTTACATCAGAGTCATCATCTATAATAATCGTGCTAACAATAGCTGTTGAGGCAACCGGTTCTTTTCTAGCTCGTATAGTGGAGATACGACCTGCTGTTGTGGCTGAAGTTGCAGTTGTTGTTGTTGTTGTGCTTGATTTCTTTTCTGCTAACTTAACATTTAGTATTTCCTTATCCGATTTTTTACTAATAGCACTTCGTACCGTCGTCTTCTGTGTACTTGTTAATGAACTGCTTCTACTGGTGCTACTGCTATCTTTAATGTACGATTCATTAATAGAGTTCTTGGTTTTTTTCTGTACTTTAGCGTCAGCCGCATATGTTGATTTGATTTTTTCTTTAGATTTTTCTACTTCGCTAGTACTATGTTTTAATTTTTTCTTATTATCTAATTGAGGTTTAATTACGGTTTTTTTATTTTCATCTATTTTGTTAACTTTGGTTTTAGGCTTAGTTGTGGAAGACGTGCTGATGGGAACTTTGGAACGTTGTACTTGCTTTTGTTCAGAGCTTGCCATTTTATTATCAGTTATTATCGAACTCTCATGTGAAGTACTTCGGAAAGTGCGCACGCCTGACATCTTTAAATCTCTTACGATCTTCTCCTTTTTATATGCATTTTTATTATTAGTATTTTGTTGTATTACTTTTCGTTCTCTTGACGTGTCTTTCATGTAAGCTACAGTCTGTTTGTTTTCTATTTTCTTAGATTTTGGATATATTTTATCAATACTTTTAAGTGATTCTTTGCTGTCACTTTCAGAACCACGTTTTAAATTTGAAATTCTTCCTTTCAAAGATTCTTTACTATCACTTGTACTTTTTCTTAAATTTGTCATTTTATTTTTGTTAAGTTTGTTTTTTTCATTTAAAATAAAATGTTCATCCTTTGCTGATTTTACTTTTTTTAAACTAGCAGAACTTTTCTGAAGGTATTGAGTTGGTATAGGAGACCTCTGCATTGGTGGAGTGGTTGAAGCTTCATCTTTTATAATTTTTGAGATACTACCAACATGCATACTGCTGGATAATGTGTGTTGCATATACCTATGCATTGTTGTTGGAGTTGGCGTTATTAATCGTTTGCGTTGAGCATCATCAATTGGTGAATCAGTGACTCTTTTTTCTCTTTTAGTTTTAATGGTGCTTACTTTTTCCACCCTCCTTTCAGCAGTAACTTTTTGAGATGTTCTAGTCTGAGCATACACACTAGTTACTTTGGAATAGTCTGGTTTAGGACGGTTCGGTGTTGGACTAAATGAACGTAAAGTGGGGTTAATTGGAACTTGTGTTACATCTGTTCGAGTTCTGGGTCGTGGAGTTGTTGAACGACTACGATAATCATCGTCACGATAATTAACAATTTGATTTGGAAGTGGCGATAAAAGTCTCTCACTGCTATCATTTCTAAAACGGTACCTATTACTTATAGCATCACTTTGAATTGATGTTTTTTGTTCTGATCTACGTTCAGTTTTAATCACTGTTTTAACTCTTGATTCCAAATGATGTTTATTATTTTCAAGTTTAGTTATAGAATAATCCATGTTTCTACGTATTCTCTTGTCAGATATACTCGAAGAAGTTGAAGTAGATGTTTTGTTGTCTCTTTCAGATCGTTTGGCAACCAAAGCACTTCTTGAATAAACTTTCGAGCTTTTTTCCTGGTTCTTTTTCTTAACTAACTTTTTACGTTGCAACTGTTTTTCAGCAAGAACTTTCTTAACGTCAGCCTCAGTCCTACCATTTTTCACCACTTTAGCCTGATCAAATTTCACAAAGTAAGAAAGCACTCCTGGCGTTTTCTGAATATTTGAAAAAGAGCTGTCTTTACCCGATAAAGTTTGAGTATCTAGGTCACTACTAGGTTCACTCACTACCCTGAGTTCCACACCTGAAGACTTGACTTTTAAAGACTCTATATCAACTATATTCTTAACAAGCGATTTTGTTACATCAAGTGATTTTGGAATAACAATGTCAGAAGGTTTGTGATCAATCTTATCTGTCGGTTTGACTTCTGTGAGTGGTTTCGACAAAATATCGTCTTTTGAATCTTGTGGTTTTGGTTTCATTTCAGGAATCTTGTCTTTATGAAGACCAAACTCATCGTCAAATACATCTTTTGTAACTGGTTTTGTTACATCAAGTGGTTTTGGAATGACAATGGCAGAAGGTTTTTGATCAATCTTATCTGTCAGTTTGGGTTCAGTGAGTGGTTTGGACAAAACGTCGTCCTTTGTATCTTGTGGTTTTGGTTTCAGTTCAGGAATCTTTTCCTTATGAAGACCAAACTCATCGTCAGAAGATTCATCATCAAATACATCTTTTGTAACTGGTTTTGTTACATCAAGTGGTTTTGGAATGACAATGTCAGAAGGTTTTTGATCAATCTTATCTGTCGGTTTGGGTTCAGTGAGTGTTTTGGGTAAAACATCGTCTTTTGTATCTTGTGGTTTTGGTTTCATTTCAGGAATCTTTTCCTTATGAAGACCAAACTCATCGTCAGAAGATTCATCGTCAAATACATCTTTTGTAACTGGTTTTGTTATATCAAGTGGTTTAGGAATGACAATGGCAGAAGGCTTTTGATCAATCTTATCTGTCGGTTTGGGTTCAGTGAGTAGTTTAGACAAAATATCGTCTTTTGAATCTTGTGGTTTTGGTTTCATTTCAGGAATCTTGTCCTTATGAAGACCAAACTCATCGTCAGAAAATTCATCGTCAAATATATCTTTTGTAACTGGTTTTGTTACATCAAGTGGTTTTGGAATGACAATGGCAGAGGTGCTCTGTTGATCAATTCTTATCCTGTGGTTGGGTCTCAGTGAGTGGTTCTTCGGACAAACACTCGCGATCCTTTGTTATCTTTGTGGTTTTATGGTTTAGTTCAAGGGACGATCTTTGTCCTTATGTAGAGACCAAGACTCCATCTGCTCTTAAGCAATATTCATCATCAAACACATTTTTTGTAACTGGTTTTGTTATATCAAGTGGTTTTGGAATAACAACGTCAGAAGGTTTGTGATCAATCTTATCTGTCGGTTTGGGTTCTGTGAGTGGTTTAGACAAAACGTCGTCCTTTGTATCTTGTGGTTTTGGTTTCATTTCAGGAATCTTGTCCTTATGAAGACCAAACTCATCGTCAGAAGATTCATCGTCTAATATATCTTTTGTAACTGGTTTTGTTATATCAAGTGGTTTTGGAACGACAATGGCAGAAAGTTTTTGATCAATCTTGTCTGTCGGTTTGGGTTCAGTGAGTGGTTTGGGTAAAACATCGTCCTTTGTATCTTGTGGTTTTGGTTTCAGTTCAGGAATCTTTTCCTTATGAAGACCAAACTCATCGTCAGAAGATTCATCGTTAAATACGTCTTTTGTAACTGGTTTTGGTACATCAAGTGGTTTTGGAATAACAAGGTCAGAAGGTTTGTGATCAATCTTATCTGTCGGTTTGGGTTCAGTGAGTGGTTTGGACAAAACATCGTCCTTTGTATCTTGTGGTTTTGGTTTCAGTTCAGGAATCTTTTCTTTATGAAGACCAAACTCATCGTCAGAAGATTCATCGTCAAATACGTCTTTTGTAACTGGTTTTGTTATATCAAGTGGTTTTGGAATGACAATGGCAGAAGGTTTTTGATCAATCTTGTCTGTCGGTTTTGGTTCAGTGAGTGTTTTGGGTAAAACATCGTCCTTTGTATCTTGTGGTTTTGGTTTCATTTCAGGAATCTTTTCCTTATGAAGATGAAACTCATCGTCAGAAGATTCATCGTCAAATACATCTTTTGTAACTGGTTTTGTTATATCAAGTGGTTTTGGAATGACAATGTCAGAAGGTTTTTGATCAATCTTATCTGTCGGTTTGGGTTCAGTGAGTGGTTTGGACAAAACATCGTCCTTTGTATCTTGTGGTTTTGGTTTCAGTTCAAGAATCTTTTTCTTATGAAGACCAAACTCATCGTCAGAAGATTCATCATCAAATACATCTTTTGTAACTGGTTTTGTTACATCAAGTGGTTTTGGAATAACAACGTCAGAAGGCTTTGTGATCCAATCTGTGGTCTGTCGGTTTCGGCGTTTCAGTGAGGCTGTTTTGTGGTATAATCACTCGTCCTTTGTATCTTGTGTTTGGTTTCATTTTCAGAATCTATTTCGCTTAATAAACACTGCAACTCCATCGTTCAGAAGATTCAATCGTCAAACTACATCTCTTTGTAGCGGTTTTGTTATATTTCAAGTGGTTTGGGGAATAACAACGTCAGAGGTTTGTGATCAATCTTATCTGTCGGTTTGGGTTCAGTGAGTGGTTTGGACAAAACATCGTTATTTGTATCTTGTGGTTTTGGTTTCAATTCAGGAATCTTGTCCTTATGAAGACCAAACTCATCATCAGAAAATTCATCGTCAAATACATCTTTTGTAACTGGTTTTGTTACATCAAGTGGTTTTGGAATAACAACGTCAGAAGGTTTTTGATCAATCTTGTCTGTCGGTTTGGGTTCGGAAAGTGTTTTGGGTAAAACATCGTCCTTTGTATCCTGTGGTTTTGGTTTCCTTTCAGAAATCTTTTCCTTATGAAGACCAAACTCATCGTCAGAAGATTCATCATCAAACACATTTTTTGTAACTGGTTTTGTTATATCAAGTGGTTTTGGAATAACAACGTCAGAAGGTTTGTGATCAATCTTATCTGTCGGTTTGGGTTCTGTGAGTGGTTTAGACAAAACGTCGTCCTTTGTATCTTGTGGTTTTGGTTTCATTTCAGGAATCTTGTCCTTATGAAGACCAAACTCATCGTCAGAAGATTCATCGTCTAATATATCTTTTGTAACTGGTTTTGTTATATCAAGTGGTTTTGGAACGACAATGGCAGAAAGTTTTTGATCAATCTTGTCTGTCGGTTTGGGTTCAGTGAGTGGTTTGGGTAAAACATCGTCCTTTGTATCTTGTGGTTTTGGTTTCAGTTCAGGAATCTTTTCCTTATGAAGACCAAACTCATCGTCAGAAGATTCATCGTTAAATACGTCTTTTGTAACTGGTTTTGGTACATCAAGTGGTTTTGGAATAACAAGGTCAGAAGGTTTGTGATCAATCTTATCTGTCGGTTTGGGTTCAGTGAGTGGTTTGGACAAAACATCGTCCTTTGTATCTTGTGGTTTTGGTTTCAGTTCAGGAATCGTTTCCTTATGAAGACCAAACTCATCGTCAGAAGATTCATCGTCAAATACGTCTTTTGTAACTGGTTTTGTTATATCAAGTGGTTTTGGAATGACAATGGCAGAAGGTTTTTGATCAATCTTGTCTGTCGGTTTGGGTTCAGTGAGTGGTTTGGACAAAACATCGTCCTTTGTATCTTGTGGTTTTGGTTTCACTTCAGGAATCTTTTCCTTATGAAGACCAAACTCATCGTCAGAAGATTCATCGTCAAATACATCTTTTGTAACTGGTTTTGTTACATCAAGTGGTTTTGGAATAACAACGTCAGAAGGTTTTTGATCAATCTTATCTGTCGGTTTGGGTTCAGTGAGTGGTTTAGACAAAACATCGTCCTTTGTATCTTGTGGTTTTGGTTTCAGTTCAAGAATCTTTTTCTTATGAAGACCAAACTCATCGTCAGAAGATTCATCATCAAATACATCTTTTGTAACTGGTTTTGTTACATCAAGTGGCTTTTGTTGAATGACCATTAGCAAGAAGGTTTGTGATCCAATCTTATCTGTCGGTTTGGGTTCAGTGAGTGGTTTAGATCAAACATCGTCCTTTGTATCTTGTGATTTTGTTTTCAGTTCAGGAATCTTGCTTCCTTATTGAAGACCAAACTTCATCGTCAGAAGATCATTCGTCAATACATTCTTTTGAAATGGTTTTGTTACATCAGTGGTTTGGATAACAAACCGTCAGAGGTTGTCATCAATCTTGTCTGTCGGTTTAGGTTCAGAAAGTGTTTGGGGTTAAAAACATCGTTCCTTTTATCTTGTGGGTTTTTGGTTTAAAGTTCAGGAATCATTTTCCTTATGAAGGACCAATTCATCGTCAGAGTTCATCGTCAAGTTACATCTTTTGTAACTGCTTTTGTTTATATCAAGTTGGGGTTTTGAATGGACAATGGCAGAAGGTTTTTGATTCAATTTGTCGGGTCGGTTTGGGTTCAGGAGTGGTTTGGACAAAACTATAGGTTCCTTTGTATTTGTGCTTTCTTTGGTTTCGTTCAGGAATCTTTTCCTTATGAAGACCAAACTCATCGTCAGAAGATTCATCGTCAAATACATCTTTTGTAACTGGTTTTGTTACATCAAGTGGTTTTGGAATAACAACGTCAGAAGGTTTGTGATCAATCTTATCTGTCGGTTTGGGTTCAGTGAGTGGTTTGGACAAAACATCGTCCTTTGTATCTTGTGGTTTTGGTTTCAATTCAGGAATCTTTTCCTTATGAAGACCAAACTCATCGTCAGAAGATTCATCGTCAAATACATCTTTTGTAACTGGTTTTGTTATATCAAGTGGTTTTGGAATAACAACGTCAGAAGGTTTTTGATCAATCTTGTCTGTCGGTTTGGGTTCAGTGAGTGTTTTGGGTAAAACATCGTCCTTTGTATCTTGTGGTTTTGGTTTCATTTCAGGAATCTTTTCCTTATGAAGACCAAACTCATCGTCAGAAGATTCATCGTCAAATACATCTTTTGTAACTGGTTTTGTTATATCAAGTGGTTTTGGAATAACAACGTCAGAAGGTTTGTGATCAATCTTATCTGTCGGTTTGGGTTCAGTGAGTGGTTTGGACAAAACATCGTCCTTTGTATCTTGTGGTTTTGGTTTCATTTCAGGAATCTTTTCCTTATGAAGACCAAACTCATCGTCAGAAGATTCATCGTCAAATACATCTTTTGTAACTGGTTTTGTTATATCAAGTGGTTTTGGAATGACAATGTCAGAAGGTTTGTGATCAATCTTATCTGTCGGTTTGGGTTCAGTGAGTGGTTTGGACAAAACATCGTCCTTTGTATCTTGTGGTTTTGGTTTCAGTTCAGGAATCTTTTCCTTATGAAGACCAAACTCATCGTCAGAAGATTCATCGTCAAATACATCTTTTGTAACTGGTTTTGTTACATCAAGTGGTTTTGGAATAACAACGTCAGAAGGTTTGTGATCAATCTTATCTGTCGGTTTGGGTTCAGTGAGTGGTTTGGACAAAACATCGTCCTTTGTATCTTGTGGTTTTGGTTTCAGTTCAGGAATCTTTTCCTTATGAAGACCAAACTCATCGTCAGAAGATTCATCGTCAAATACATCTTTTGTAACTGGTTTTGTTATATCAAGTGGTTTTGGAATAACAACGTCAGAAGGTTTGTGATCAATCTTATCTGTCGGTTTGGGTTCAGTGAGTGGTTTGGACAAAACATCGTCCTTTGTATCTTGTGGTTTTGGTTTCAGTTCAGGAATCTTTTCCTTATGAAGACCAAACTCATCGTCAGAAGATTCATCGTCAAATACATCTTTTGTAACTGGTTTTGTTATATCAAGTGGTTTTGGAATGACAATGGCAGAAGGTTTTTGATCAATCTTGTCTGTCGGTTTGGGTTCAGTGAGTGTTTTGGGTAAAACATCGTCCTTTGTATCTTGTGGTTTTGGTTTCAGTTCAGGAATCTTTTCCTTATGAAGACCAAACTCATCATCAGAAAATTCATCGTCAAATACATCTTTTGTAACTGGTTTTGTTACATCAAGTGGTTTTGGAATAGCAACGTCAGGTTTGTGATCAATCTTATCTGTCGGTTTGGGTTCAGTGAGTGGTTTGGACAAAACATCGTCCTTTGTATCTTGTGGTTTTGGTTTCAGTTCAGGAATCTTGTTCTTATGAAGACCAAACTCATCGTCAGAAGATTCATCGTCAAATACATCTTTTGTAACTGGATTTGTTATATCAAGTGGTTTCGGAATGACAACGTCAGAAGGTTTGTGATCAATCTTATCTGTCGGTTTGGGTTCAGTGAGTGGTTTAGACAAAACACCGTCCTTTGTATCTTGTGGTTTTGGTTTCAGTTCAGGAATCTTTTCCTTATGAAGACCAAACTCATCGTCAGAAGATTCATCGTCAAATACATCTTTTGTAACTGGTTTTGTTATATCAAGTGGTTTTGGAATGACAACGTCAGAAGGTTTGTGATCAATCTTATCTGTCGATTTGGGTTCAGTGAGTGGTTTGGACAAAACTTCGTCCTTTGTTTCTTGTGGTTTTGGTTTCAGTTCAGGAATCTTTTCCTTATGAAGACCAAACTCATCGTCAGAAGATTCATCGTCAAATACATCTTTTGTAACTGGTTTTGTTACATCAAGTGGTTTTGGAATAACAACGTCAGGTTTGTGATCAATCTTATCTGTCGGTTTGGGTTCAGTGAGTGGTTTGGACAAAACATCGTCCTTTGTATCTTGTGGTTTTGGTTTCAGTTCAGGAATCTTGTCCTTATGAAGACCAAACTCATCATCAGAAGATTCATCGTCAAATACATCTTTCGTAACTGGTTTTGTTACATCAAGTGGTTTTGGAATGACAACGTCAGAAGGTTTGTGATCAATTTTATCTGTCGGATTGGGTTCAGAAAGTGTTTTGGGCAAAACATAGTCCGAAGATTCATCGTCAAATACATCTTTTGTAACTGGTTTTGTTATATCAAGTGGTTTTGGAATAACAACGTCAGAAGGTTTGTGATCAATCTTATCTGTCGGTTTGGGTTCAGTGAGTGGTTTAGACAAAACATCGTCCTTTGTATCTTGTGCTTTTGGTTTCATTTCAGGAATCTTTTCCTTATGAAGACCAAACTCATCATCAGAAGATTCATCGTCAAATACATCTTTTGTAACTGGTTTTGTTACATCAAGTGGTTTTGGAATGACAATGGCAGAAGGTTTTTGATCAATCTTGTCTGTCGGTTTAGGTTCAGAAAGTGTTTTGGGTAAAACATCGTCCTTTGTATCTTGTGGTTTTGGTTTCATTTCAGGAATCTTTATCTTATGAAGACAAAACTCATCATCAGAAAATTCATCGTCAAATACGTCTTTTGTAACTGGTTTTGTTACATCAAGTGGTTTTGGAATGACAACGTCAGAAGGCTTTTGATCAATCTTGTCTGTCGGTTTGGGTTCAGTTAGTGGTTTGGACAAAACATCGTCCTTTGTATCTTGTAGTTTTGGTTTCATTTCAGGAATCTTTTTCTTGTGAAGACCAAACTCATCGTCAGAAGATTCATCATCAAACACATCTTGTGTAACTGGTTTTGTTACATCAAGTGGTTTTGGAATAACAACGTCAGAAGGTTTGTGATCAATCTTATCTGTCGGTTTGGGTTCAGTGAGTGGTTTGGACAAAACATCGTCCTTTGTATCTTGTGGTTTTGGTTTCAGTTCAGGAATCTTTTCCTTATGAAGACCAAACTCATCGTCAGAAGATTCATCGTCAAATACATCTTTTGTAACTGGTTTTGTTACATCAAGTGGTTTTGGAATAACAACGTCAGAAGGTTTGTGATCAATCTTGTCTGTCGGTTTGGGTTCAGTGAGTGGTTTGGACAAAACATCGTCCTTTGTATCTTGTGGTTTTGGTTTCAGTTCAGGAATCTTTTCCTTATGAAGACCAAACTCATCGTCAGAAGATTCATCGTCAAATACATCTTTTGTAACTGGTTTTGTTATATCAAGTGGTTTTGGAATAACAACGTCAGAAGGTTTGTGATCAATCTTATCTGTCGGTTTGGGTTCAGTGAGTGGTTTGGACAAAACATCGTTATTTGTATCTTGTGGTTTTGGTTTCAATTCAGGAATCTTGTCCTTATGAAGACCAAACTCATCATCAGAAAATTCATCGTCAAATACATCTTTTGTAACTGGTTTTGTTACATCAAGTGGTTTTGGAATAACAACGTCAGAAGGTTTTTGATCAATCTTGTCTGTCGGTTTGGGTTCGGAAAGTGTTTTGGGTAAAACATCGTCCTTTGTATCCTGTGGTTTTGGTTTCCTTTCAGAAATCTTTTCCTTATGAAGACCAAACTCATCGTCAGAAGATTCATCATCAAACACATTTTTTGTAACTGGTTTTGTTATATCAAGTGGTTTTGGAATAACAACGTCAGAAGGTTTGTGATCAATCTTATCTGTCGGTTTGGGTTCTGTGAGTGGTTTAGACAAAACGTCGTCCTTTGTATCTTGTGGTTTTGGTTTCATTTCAGGAATCTTGTCCTTATGAAGACCAAACTCATCGTCAGAAGATTCATCGTCTAATATATCTTTTGTAACTGGTTTTGTTATATCAAGTGGTTTTGGAACGACAATGGCAGAAAGTTTTTGATCAATCTTGTCTGTCGGTTTGGGTTCAGTGAGTGGTTTGGGTAAAACATCGTCCTTTGTATCTTGTGGTTTTGGTTTCAGTTCAGGAATCTTTTCCTTATGAAGACCAAACTCATCGTCAGAAGATTCATCGTTAAATACGTCTTTTGTAACTGGTTTTGGTACATCAAGTGGTTTTGGAATAACAAGGTCAGAAGGTTTGTGATCAATCTTATCTGTCGGTTTGGGTTCAGTGAGTGGTTTGGACAAAACATCGTCCTTTGTATCTTGTGGTTTTGGTTTCAGTTCAGGAATCGTTTCCTTATGAAGACCAAACTCATCGTCAGAAGATTCATCGTCAAATACGTCT